AACTGGGATTCTAAACTCCTTTTTGTGTGCCATAGACCCCTTTGGCAGTCCATGATGAATCCTATGGACTCCTTCTCAGAATAATGTTTAGAATTTTAGTTTAGTAAAATAAAATGCATAAGATTAGAAATGAAACCAATAACATTGACATAGAAAGCAAAATATTAAAACCAACTGTAATATAGTAATATCTGCATTTTTATGCTTCATTATGAATGTCATTAAATAACAAAGTCAAGCAGTGGGTCTGATTAATGTAATTTCAAAGTTGAACTGAGCATGGACAATATTTTGAGATAACAGCAACAACTTTAAAGTAGTATAAATGTAGTTTCTATTGGTTTGGGTTGTGATTTGTTGCTTTTATTTATAATTGAAGGAGATTCTAAATTTCAGTTAGAAGTTAATAGAAAGAAAACTAATTTTTGCCATCTGTAGTGGTTTGAATTGTGGCCCCCAAAAGATATGTCCACCTGGAACCTCAGCATGTGGACTTATTTGGAATAAAGGTTTTTGCGGATGTAATTAAGGGAAGGATATCAAGATGAGATCATTCTAGATCAGGATGGGCCCTAAATCCAATGATGGGTGATCTTATAAGAGACAGAGGAGGAGACACAGAGACACAGGAAAGATCAGGTGAACAGCTACATGAAGATAGAGGCAGAAATTGGAGTCATGCTGTCACGGCCATGGAATGCCTACAGTCCCCAGAAGCTAGAAGAGGCAAGGAAGAATTCCCCTGAGCCTTCAGGGGGAGTGTTACCCTACTGACACCGTGATTTCAGACTTCTGGCCTCCAGAACTGTCAGAGAATAAATTTCTGTTGTTTTAAGCCACCAAGTGTGTGGTAGTTTGTTACAGTAGCCCTAGGTAACTAATATACTTACCGAATTCTTACTACGTGGCCTCTTCTTCTATTATAGGGAGCAAACTACAGACATGCCTGTATTTTTCTACCCCCAAATAATAACGATGGCTTCATATTACATTTGAAACCTTGGTGTTCTGCTACCAGGTACTATATTGATGAGCTTTTAAAACTTCCACTGAATAGGTAAAAATACATGCTACTTTTAATAAATTCCAGGAGAAAAAGCTTCTGCAACTTTATATATATATATAATATATATATATAATATATATATATTATATATATATATAAATTGAATTGTTTCATAGTACTTCCTGGTGGGAAATTACCTCTTAAGAAACAAGCCTACACGAGCCGTGACCTCATCTATCCTGAGACCAGAAGTACTAGATGGTGCCTGGCTACCACCACTGACCATTCTGACCAGGGTCACAATAGATAGTCCTGGATAGAATGGGGAAAAAACTTGGAGCAGAACTCAAATTCTTATTTTAAAAAACGTTAGACAAACTGGGACAGTAGAGAACAGAGGACTCCCTGAGACTTTCGCCCTGAGACTCTCTTTAAACCTGGAACTGAGCCTATCCCCTGAGATCACCTTTTAGCGAAATAGAGTGGCACACAAAATAAAGGACAAACATAAGATCAGTTCCCTACTTAAAAACCATCTGTGTGAGACCAAAAGTTCAACAATCACTCAAAAGCAAAGATGAGAAGATAAGGGGGCAGGGAAACTAGAGTACTAGAAATGGAACAAACAGAACACAACTAAAGAGAATGTTGACATATTGTGATGTGTCGCTGAACGATTTGTGTGGAAATTGTCAAATGGGCACCTAACTTGCTGTGTAAACTTTCACCAAAAACGCAATAAAATATTATTTAAAAAAATGTCAAATTGGCAAGTGTTTTGTTATAGATATTTTTACACAAGAAAATAATTTTTAAAAATTACCTCTTTAAAGATAAAAATTATAATAATCATGCCCAGGTTTAAAATTATTTCTTCCAATTCTGCTGCCAGTTTATATGTTTGTCTCAGGCAAATTTTAGAAAACCATGCATGGAGATAAGTATGGACTGAGAGTATCCATCACAAGTTATCCATGAGGTCCGTCAGACAGACACCTTCACCCTAAGAATACTATCAGCAGCTTTCAAAGGAGTAAGGGAACTGGCCTTGGGACTGATGGAGAGTTTGTCTCCATAGGAAAAATCTAGGATCCAGCTGGGCACATGTAGGCAGGTGTGAAGGAGGATATGGATAGAAAGGAATCTCTCTAAGGGGGAAAGCAGAGTATTTTAAAGACTTTTTTTTCTTTGAATTCTTCTCCATCCAATATTAGCATCTGCCCATTTGGCTTGCCTGGGGGGAACGAAGATGGCTGGAAGAAGTTAGATGAACCCTGCCATCTCTGACTCTGTAGTCAGCTCTCACCTTGGAAATAAGGCTCAACAAATTCCTGCAGCTGCTCATGCAGATGGCTCAGTAGCCAGGCTTCATTGCCTGGCTAAGCAACTTCTCTAGGGCCTGGCAGACATGGAAAGTTCCCCAGGTCTTGGGCATTAGGGGATCTTGGGATCCCCAGGTCTTGGGCATTACTAAGAGAATTGGCCTGATAACAGAGTATTCCTCAAAAATATTTTTTGAATGAGTGAATAAATGAACATCACTGACCAACACTGGGATCAGGAATTGCAGGTTAATTCAATCATTCAGATTTCAACACTGACCCTAGACCTACTGAACCACAATTGAGGTAGAGAATAGAACAGGTGTACTCTGGAAAACTTCCTTAGAGGGTTTTAATGAGAGCATCACTCCTCCACACGCTGCACTGGTGGGCAGTGACACCACTAAGCGACTAGTCGGGGTGAGGGAAGGTCCAATAAAGACCTGCATTACCATCCAATACACTGCTCACCCCTCCTTCATCACCAGAGAAAACTGAAGGGATGAAACCTCTCCTCATCCCAAACCCTCTCCCCAGGCTCAGGTTGGATTCATGGGACCATTAGACTATTAGAGCTTGAAAGGGCCATAAATCAAATCCATTGCCATTGAGTCAATTCTGACTCATAGCGACTCTATAGAACAGAGTAGAACTGCCCCATAGGGTTTCCCAGGAATGGCTGGGTGGATTCGAACTGCCCACATTTTGGTTAGCAGCTGAACTCTTAACCACTGCTTCACCAAGGCTCCAGAAAGGACCATAGAGTCTACCTATTCTAATTTCTTCTAGAGATGAAGAATGAGTGGCTCAGGATGAAATCACTCACCCAAGGCCACAGTTGTTATTCCCTTCTCAGTTCTCATTTCCATGAGATTTTTACCCATGTGGGTAGTGCAAATGGTTAAGCTCTTGACTACTAATTGAAAAACTGGTGGTGCAAACCTACCCAGAAGTGCCTTGGAAGAATAGCCTGGCAATCTGCGTCTGAGAGGTAACAGCCTTGAAAACCCTGTGAAACACATTTCTACTCTGCCACACACGGGGTCACCATGAGTCAGAATCAACTTGAAAACACCTAGTTTGGTTTTGGTTCGGTCTCCTTTCAATTTGCCCTACCTACCAGCAAGGGGTATTCTGGATACCTCCCCCTATTAGGAGAGGCATCCCTGGTGGTGGCACTAGCAGCTCTGAACCCTGTAGTGTTTCGTTGGTACAGTGTTGACATGGCAATCAGGAGGCTTCATAATTCACCCCTGGAAGCTTTGTGATTTGCTGCTATTGCTGCCCTAACATTACTTCCATCTTGGATCTATCATGATGGCTCTTACCTGCCAGAACTCAGGACATTGGCTTATTTGGCTTTTTCCTTAGGCTTTCCTGCGGGTTGAGTCACGAAGGTATGGCTTTGTTATTCTTGATCTATCCTAAAGTCTTCACACTTATACCTTCTAGAAATCAAATTCATAAGTAACATCCAGGAAACCCAATCAGAAATGAAACAGGCACATACGAAGGGGTCTCCTGTGAATAGTTATATTGATATTAACACTGGTTTCTTAAAGTTGTCTTATCTCAGAAGTTTTTCTGAAGCTTTAGTTTTCAGCATTTCAATCATGACGCTCCCAGTTGGGGGTGTATTCTCAGTAATAGGAGAGCTGCAGCGTTCAGCCGTTTCCTGGAAATCGGTATTTACAAAGCTGGAGAAACATAATTTGGTTGTTGGTAAAGATCAGTCTTTAAACTTTCTCATTTGCTTCCTTCTTTTGAGTGTCAGAGTTTATTCTGTCATTCAGAATATGGAGACTTCATCTAAAATTGAAAAATGAAAATGATCTTTAAAGAAACTATTTGTTTGGCAAATAAAGCACTGTTTTATAGTGGGGTAAACATCCTTTTTTCTACTGAACACTCCAGAATCTTTCACCAGTTAACAACTAGGTATTCACAAAAGTAACTGGGATCAATCAGTCTAAAAGAAAAGACGTCTTTCAAGTAGATGGAAACTTTTAGGAAAAAAAGCCTGTTCATCCTACCAAAAACATAATGTGGAACTCAGTGCAAAATGTTAACAAAAACTCAATTAGACATAAATAACCTAAATGATTTAGGAGCCCTGGCGGCGCAGTGGTTAAGTGCTCAGGCTGCTATCCAAAGGTTCAGCAGTTGGCTCCTTGGAAACCCTAGGGGGCAGAGTCGGAATTGACTCCACAGCAACAGGTTGTTTTTTTGTTTGTTTGTTTGTTTAACATTGGAATACAGGAGCCCTGGTGGAGCAGTGATTAAGTGCTCAGCTACTAACCAAAATGTCGGCAGTTTGAACCCACCAGCCACTCCTCAGGAGAAAGATGTGGCAATCTGCTTCTGTAAAGATTTATAGCCTTGGAAATCCTGTTGGGTAGTTCTACTCTGTCCTATAGGGTCACTATGAATCAGAATTGACTTGACAGCAGTGGGTTTGGTTTTTTGGGGTTTACTATTGGAATAAGCTATCAAAGGAGAGCATAATTTTCCATCCTTGGAAATCTTCAAGAAAAGGACTAAAACACACTTGGTAAATCTCTTGGGGCTCAGAGTCCCTCCTGGATTCTGTTATTCTGATGTATGTTCAAGCAGGAGTAATTCTCATGTAAATGGGGGGTTTGAGCCTCTTGACAGTATTGGGAATAAGAATAAATATGATGCATCCTAGATAAGATTATTGCATTTGAAATTATGACCCAGCTGTCAGAAGAGTATTATTATGCTGCTATTGATTGTTGTTAATGTACTGCTTGGAGAGGCTCCAGGGACTAATATTGCAAGTAACAATTAATCAAGAAAATGAAATTTTTGGTGCTTGAATTGCTAAAATAAATATGAAACTGTTGTTGCTGTTGTGATATCAAGTCGATTCTGATTCATAGCAACCCTATAGGACAGAGTAGAAGTGTCCCATAAGGTTTCCAAGGAGCAGCTGGTGGATTTGAACTGCCGAACTTTTGGTTAGTAGCCTGAGCTCTTAACCGTGTGTTGTCTGCTAAAGTGGAGAGCTTAGTGAAGAGCGGTCAATGGAAGAGTAGGGATAAAGCGTTTTGGGTCAGTATAGGAATATTTGTCCTCTAGTGGCTTTTGACTGGAAAGAAGTTGAAACAGTTCAAGTAGGTGAAGGTGTCTGCTTTCAATGCTCGTAATATCAGCAGCACACAGGACTTTACAGATACCCCTTGTGTTATGCTCATGAACTTGTTCCAGTAAATCTGTTTTCCTACTGCTCAGGCAGAACTTTGCCCCCTTCAATTCACACACCACCTGTGCTTCATTGGAAATGCCCTTGACCAGCAATGGAAAAGAAAGGGAACATACTGCAGTTTCAATTGTTGCGGGACTCAGGTTTTCTCTCAGCACTGCATAAACACTTGGAGACATGGGAAGAAGGTCTGATGGAGAATGTGGCTCAGTTGAATCACTTCGGCTTAAAGAGATAACAAGGTAAATTTTTAAAAAGAATTTAAGATTAATAGCTCACCGTGACTGACTGTGTCAGGAACTCATTTCTAGGGCTTCATTTATCTGTGATACTGAGATGCCTAATTCATCATTTGATACTAGAGCATTCAGCCTGCTATGTAACATATGGCATACACAAGGGCAGCCGTATCATTCTAGTCGGAATAGACTGTGGAAAGTGTGCCCCTGAAGACTGGCTTTAAGTATTAAAAGAAATGGGACATTGAGCATTAAAATGCTTTATTCTCAGTTATATATTCCCTGCTCTACCCTCAGATTTCCTATAGGAAAGCTTTTGTTTTCTTTTGTAAATTCAACAATAAATATTTTCTATGTGACTAAGATTACTCACATTGTTGAGATGGGGATAAAAACAGAAGGAACATAACCTTTGTCTCCCCTTTCTGTTGGTCTTGAAACTGGAAAAGAAAGACATATTGTTGGGAAAAATATTATCAACATTATGGACAAAGTTAGAAACAGAAAGTCTAGAAAAATATAAGCCATGCTAAAAGAGAGATAATATAGTTATTTAGTGGTTCATAAATATTTTTAGTTGAATAGCTGCAACAGTCTTCTTGATGAACATAAAATGTGAAAGAAAAGAAAAGCAAATCTCTTGGCAGGACTAATCTAACTTCTTTACATAGCAAATGTCTCTAAAATGTGTGAGAAAAATTGAGAACCAATTATATTACCTGTCTTCTATGTTCCAATTTCAGTTTGATTATAAGGACTGATTTATTCAGGTATTGGGGGTACTTGTAGTAGCTGAATTCTTTTCATTACAACTGACATCAATCAATCTCGTAATTACACACATTTTTTGAAGCACAGATATCAAACAGTGTTGCTAAAGGTACCACTGTAGTAGCAATGGTGTATGAACCTCACCTTGGAAACATTCCCTACAGTTCTCTATCGAACCATGTTGAACTGGTCGTTGGCCCAATTATCGAACTGTAATTTATTACACTGGCATTTGTTATTTCATTCAATCAGAGGTAAAGAGTCACTTAGAAGTCACAGTCATACGTTGTTTCGTTTTTGTTTCAAGGTGAATGAAATAGAGTGTCACTCACCATCTGTGAGTGACAACTGTAGAATATTCCACAAGATGGTGCTCATAGATTTAGTTGCTATGGATGTAGATATTTATGGACTGTATCTACTTTTCATTAAAGAAACAGAATGGTGGACTTATATTAAAATTCTATAGTTAATTTCCTGAACTTCCTTTTGTGTATTCAATAAATATTTACTGAATGCCTATTTTGGCTAGGCACTGTTCTAGACCCCAGGGATATAGCCAGGAAAGATGGGCATGTCAGTACTTTGTATTGATAGGCTAGGAGGCAGGGGATGAAGGACAGACTCCATGCTTCCTCCCCAGCAAATGAGCAATATTCTCTTTGTTGTGAAACTATAGTAAGGGCTTCCGTTGCAAAAATATAGACTTGCCTTACTTTTAAAAGCTTTCTAATCATTACCTCCTCTTTTTTTCCCTCTTGCCTAGTCATACAAGTGAAGTCAGCACCGCTCCTATCTTACAAAGGAGAAAACTGAAGATCTGCAAGTGGCTGGAAAAGGCCCCACAGCCATTGTGAAATCTGGTTACAAGCTGCCGACTACTACTCTGCTAGTGTCACACAGCCTCAGAGGTCCCCTTCCGGGAATGGCTGACATACCACTTTGTTTCCACAGCTTTGACCTCCACATGCCCTTTAGGTCTTATAAAGATCAAAGCAAACATAAAAGGAGGAAGTTCATTTACTTTGCTCCAATACTAGGTTGTTTTCCAAAACCTTAAGGAAAAAAAAAAAAGTAAATAGAACCTAACCTTCACATGGCTGGGAGCTGTAGTGTTTACCAAAGGCTTTGTCTTTGGGAATGTCAGGATATAGGTACTTCAGAGGGTTTTCTGGAATGTTTTCAGCCATAATAACCTTGTAGTCTCGGAGGATGTCAGCGAATGGCAGAGCAGATAACCGGCCTTTATTGTAGGGTTCTACAGAGTGGAATCTCACTTCTCCTGGAAAAACAGAAAGCAGGGAAATAGCCAACTCCCCTCATTTTTGGTGGCCTTTCTTCCTGCCCACATTATCTTCATGTAATTGTTTAAAACAATGCCAGACCTCCTATAGTCTGGGCCAACCAAAACCAAACTCACTGCCTTTGAGTCGATTCTTACTCATAGCAACCCTACAGGATGGAGTAGAACTGCCCTATTGGGTTTCCAAGGCTGTAAATCTTTACAGAAGCAGATTGCCACATCTTTCTTCTGCAGAGCAGCTGGTGGGTTCGAACTGCAGACTTTTTGGTTATCAGCCGAGTGCTTTAAACACTGCACCACCAGGGCTCCTTGTAGTCTAGATAGTACAGATATTCATGTGATAGAGGATGCCCACGCAGGCTGTTCTAAATTTGTGTGTAACTGCTCTGGGACAACCGCAACAACTAATATTCAAACCCACTGAACACAAAAACAGAATAACACACGGGAAAACTCAAATTCCCATAACCGAACCCAAGAATACCCAATTCACATGAATAAACAGTAGTGAGCATGTACCATTTTCAGAATGGTCCACCCAGGTGAAAGTTATTCCTCCAAGGTGGCTTTCACTGAATCTTAATAAAAAGGTTCCAGGCATTTTGTCCTTTAGTAAGAGCCGTTCCTTCTCTTTACTAACAAAGCCCATGATATACCTAAAAATAGAATGATGCACAGTTTTACCTGATTAAAGACTGTAATGTATTGCATTTAAGTTTATTTGATTCACAAAGAACATACTTAGACTATATTTTGATAGTTGATCGAATGTCAATGGTACTATTAAAGTAAATACTAATACTCTATGAAGAAAGTAGAAATCACAACTATTTTGTTCCTAGGGCACTAAACATGCTTAGAAGGAAAAAGAAAGAAAGAAATGAAAAATCCAACAAGAAGAGAAAAATAAGAACCTAATAACTCATATGGAAAATATAGCCTATAATTTACCCATCAATCCAAAGGGGAAGAATGTGTTTTTTAATTAGATCCAATATTGCTTCAAGCCATATCCAAAAGGTAAACGATTTGCCAGGTAAGTGTTCCTGTTCAATAAACAAACAAGTTAGGACAATGATTATATCAGCAGTAATGTTAATATAATAATTCAGGTTCCATTTTTCAGTACTGGGACAATACTTTGGAGTTTCTTTTTATAATTATCCTTATCCAGGAAATTCTCAAAACTCTAGATTATGATATGGAGGCTTAGAAAAGAGCACTATATTTTAAAAAAAAGAATATCTAAGGGATATTCCCCTTCCCCTGTTTGTACCTTGCAGAACTTGGCCCAGGTGAGGTGACCATCACTGTAGCTAGACAGGCCTAAAATGAAAACAAAAGAAAAGAATGAGATGTTTGTTAAATAATCGGACTCTTCAATTTTGTGCTTAATTTAGATATTTTCTATTTTTGTCCCTTTCGAGTATTTAAGTACCTACTTTGGGTCTACGGAGTACTTAGTACTAGGTACAGTAAAAATATGATATCCTTTTTGCTCTTATTATCAGAGAAGAATCCTTTAGATGGAGGAGCTAGGGATGGCTTTAGGAAGAGGGTGGGTCTGTAGGACCAGGCCTCCATCAATGAGTAGAATATATATTGTCAGAGGAGAGAGAGGGGGCACTCCAGATAGCAAAAATAATGTAGGATGAGGCATGGTAGACTTGAACATAGCTTATATAAGAGACAGTAAGAGTAACCTAATGTTGGTGAATAAATATTGCACAATTAATTCATATAAATTAGGCACAGTCAGATTAACAGGAGTCTTGACTATTAAGGTGAAAAGAATTAACTAGAATTCCGTTAGGCTATAGGGAGCCATTAACTACTTTGACCCAGGGCAGTGAAAGGATACCAGAGTTTCTATCTAACTACGTTTTTAAGGAAATTATACTCATCATAAGGATAATTTGATAAAATCTGAAAAAGTGTGGTTGCTACCTATATTACCTTATTTTAAAGGTTTATTCACTAATTAATAAATAATTTATTGCATGTTTATATATTGTAGTCTATAATAAGGACTGAAAAGGATATTTTCATTAAGTAAATTTAGTAACATTTCCAGAGCCCTGATTTCTTTAATTATTTACTGATCAAAGAGTAGATGCAAGTGGCAACCCAGAATGACATTAAGTTAAAACTTTAATCACATGATTTGACTGCTGCTGCTCAAATGCATTTTGGCCCTATTTTAACTAGAATGCATATAAACCCAATTTTAATTCTTTTTGAGTACTAAATTGTGTTCACCCTAGACCTGTCAAAATACAGATATCTTTTAAAATTCTTTTGGAAAAAAGCTCAGACTATAGTTAGTACATGTAGTACTAATGACTCTGTTTTGCAAATGTTAGAAATCTGAGTCAAACCTGAAACTTTCTTTGTAGCAATGTTCTTGCTATGTAGAATTGGGTATTACCCAGGTGGTTTTGAATTTCTATTAAATTTCCTGGACCTGGTGAGGGAATTAACTATTTTCTAGTTGTTTAACGTCAATTGTGATATTAATATGAAAGACCAAGTTACCACTAAAGGTTTCACATCATATTCAGTGGAAATGACATTAGAACACCCTAGAGACTGGAGTATGGAATGGAAAAGAGGAGGTTTTAGAATTGGGCACACCTAGGCCCATGACTAGGCTTTGCTATGTACTAGCTGTGCAGTATGGCAAGTCACTTACCCTCTGACTCTCAATAGAAAATGGATAGAATAATGTCTGACTTGAGGAACTTTTGTGAGAATTAGAGATAATATAGGGCAAGCATTTAGCCCTGTACAATATAGTAGGCACTCAATAAATTGTGACAGTCAGTATTAATTGTAGCAAAGCCATCTTGGTTCTTTAAGACACTTGAGTACCAAAAACAGGCAAGTCTTCCGTATCTACCAATTCTCACCTGTAAGCTTCTCCGCCAGCATATTAAGTTGATCTGAATTAAGACCACGACCAACATAGGATGAAAACTGCCAGCTTATCACTTCCAGGAGTTGACTCAAAGTGGCAGATGGAGGATTATTAAAGAAAACCAAGTTCTGCAATACAGTTGTGAAGATGATTATATTTGTTAATCACACTATGACTATCATTCAATACACAAGATTCCTGATGTAAACTCTTTAGGTCAACCTAAGTTCATAATACAGAACATAGTCTCACCTCTGTGGTACTTTTTAAGATTGATTTTTTTTCCAAAGAATTCTCTGTTCCTTGAGAATAATACTGACTCCATCTTATCCTTGAAATAATCATTTGGCATCTCTTTGTTTAACTTTTACTGGAAAATTGTCTATAATCAACGCATACAAGTTCTTAACACTATTAAACAAATAATTAGGCAGATACTGTTTTCTGAAATAATATTAATCTTAAAAAAAATAATATTCTTTAATTGGTTTATCATGAGTTGGCACAAGTTATACCTTGACCAGACAAACTATTCCAAACAGTAAGAAACAAGCAAATCCCAGGCTAAGGAAGGTGACCCTACAATATGTATTTATGATTAACCCCAGATTCCTGTTTTATGGATATATGGTAGTCTTTTCTTTTTTTGCTCTAGGCAAGAGATGTATGATCAACTGAAAACAAGGTTGTTTGTGCCAGAAACTTGGTTAATAATGGTGGAACAGAAGACTTGGTCCCAGCCTACTGGAAAGCAGATAGGTGTGAAAGCCAAGAAAGTTGTTCTAAGACAATGAGGTGGAAGGAGGAGAAGAATTGAGAAATCTAGAGCAGTACCTGGAGGAGGCCATTGGTGAATTTGAACTAAGCTGAGCAGCAAGAAGGGGAACTGATTTGAGATTTCAGAAGGTGAGAGTAAAAAAGGACACAGCATCCAACAAAGAGTGGAGCTAGGAAGGGGAAGAAGGGAGAGAAAGAACTTCTAGAGGCAGTTTTCCTTGAACCCAAGAATTGTGTCTGAATAAACAATCAGAAAGCACAGGATATAATCAAGGTCTAGGAGCTTAGGTTTCAAAACAGAATAAAATTAGGAAGACAAAACAGACTTTGTTGTTAAGCTGGGCTCTGTAACAAGGCTGGTACATCTATGTTTTAGGAGCTGCATATGGTCTATATCTCAAGACTCCTTATCCTGGAGCAGAGTCGAATCTGGTACCTTAAGAGATGGTTAGTGTGAAGATATCAGTGGTTTTCTTACAGAAAGATTCTGAAGAGAGCTAAAATGCAGTACTGTGCTCTGAGACTGGAGAACAGAGAACTGTCCCATCTCCCTGTTTATGCCCTGGAGTTGGAAGAAGAACTATGAACAAGTGTACCTGCTAATGGGGAATGACATTTAATTTCAAGACAACTGGTTCTTCTTTTACAGAAAGACCAGGTGAGTCTTCTATTGAATTCTGTTCTCCTGTCTGCCTGCTGAGCTATTTGTGTGGCCCTCCTCTCTGCAGTTGATCTATCTCAGATGCCAGGGCACCGGTGGATAAGAAGGAGCAGGGCTGAATCATTTTCCATGTTGTATCCTTATTAGGAACATGAATTTCGAGGGAAGAAGCACTTCGAGCTGACTCATTATGGCTTGGTTCTTAATACTGGAGAGTAAAGTAAAAGAATTCTTCCCTCTGAAGGGAGAGTTTGCTTTCAACTAAGAAGAAATGTTGTTATTTACATTTGACCTATTTTCTCTAGACCTTGGTGGTTTCCGGCACAACACACTGAGGTTTTATAAGAGGGAAGTAGGGGAAATGCGCCACTTTCTGACTCATCTTTTTTGCCCTTCCCTTCCCTCATAATCTTTTGAGAAGATCATTTATCCTCAGCTTGCTTGGTAACTTGAATCCAAATTTTGGTCAGTGTCTCAAATAACCACCAGAGGGCATGAAAACCCAGTTTGAGCCTAGGATCTATTTGATCTATTATCAATTCTTGAAATTTGTGCTGTCAGAGTGCAGTTAGGTGAGGTTGATGAATACTCTAGTCACTTATTTGGAAATCAATTCTGTACCTTTGTAGAGCAGCCTGTGTGGAGAAGGGGGGAGAAGTTGGGAAGGAGGTAAAACATAGCAGTCAGATACCAAATTCTGGCCCAAGACGCCTCTCCATAGCCCAGTAAGCAAAGCCACAGAATGGCCCTAGAACTGTCTGTGATACACAAACATAGGAGGTAGGTGACAAATCCTTCAGAAATAACAAATACCTGTCTATCATGTAGGCTGGCCAGAACTCTCTCAGGGCCGAAGTATATCAGCACATTCTACTTTATCACATTAGTGGGGACTCATACAACTAAAAATATTGAAGTTCAGGAATAAAACCATCCACAAAGACATGCCAAAATTAAAAAAAAAAAATCTCTGAGGCACATGGGTTTTATTGACACAAAACCAAATGAAATAGTATTAAAGGGGGGAAAATGGGAATAGAGACTCTACCTGGGAATCGTTGGTTGACACATTGTACCAAATGATGGACGCCCAAGCATTAGGTAACTGACTGACATTGGAAATCATCACCACAGGTAATGAGCTGGTCTGGTTAAAAAAAAAAAAAAAAAGCACAGTTATTATAGGTAGTCCTACCTTACATTGGCCTTATCCTTGACCCTCTCCTCTAAAGGACCATCTCAAGCCAGCCCTACTCCTTCAGTCCTAATGTCCCCACTGCCCTGGTTACTAAATCGACTGTGAAGGTACCTGGAACTTTCTAAGCATATAGGAATCATTGTGCAGGAAAGAAGGGAGCTATGAAGAACAGGAATCCTGTCAGAGTGCTCAGTCAGGGTCTGATTTCCCTAATTATCTTCCCCAGCTTCACTTAAACATTTGTACTATATTATATCACATACTGCCCCAAATGCAACTAATTAGAAATTCAATTAATTTACCAACTATCTTCTTTAAAAGGTACATTAAAAAACTAATTTTAAATTTGCCCTGGGCTGAGTCAATATATTCAAATTATGCTTTAACACCTCAATAATGTCAGCAGTAGTAGAAATAAGAGTTTTAATTATAGAAGGTACAGAGGTAAGCAATTTTGGAACACATTTGGGAGATAGCACCCCCTTGGTCCATTGCTACAGAACTTAATTTAGTACTACTGGTACTATAGTTTCCTATCTTACAGAACAAACAGGCTTTTACAGACTAACCTGGAAAACTAATCCAATTTACAGTAGTCCCTTCCCAATAACAGGTCTTAGATTCTTGTGGATAGCAAAATACCTAGTTAGGGAACTTAATAGCTCATGGAAACATAGATTCAGAGAAAAGAGATGAGGAAGGAACTTATGAAAGTTTTTATAAATATGTTTACATTCATTAAGATAAAAGAGTAAAGGCAGTACTCTAAAACAATGTTGTTTTACAATGTAGTCAAATCCAACTCATAGCGACCCCATGTAACAGAGTAGAACTGCCCCCATAGGGTTTCTTAAGCTATAATCTTTTACAGGAGCAGATCGCCAGGTCTTTCTCCCATGGAGCTGCTGGGTGGGTTCAAACCACCAACCTTTTGGTTATCAGCTGAGAGCTTAAACTGTTGCTCCACAAATAGGGTCATATTCAGGATTCGTGAAATCATGTTTGCTTGTTTGTTCATTCAGGCACTCGCTCATTCATTCACTCAACAAATATTGAGCATCTACTATGTGCCAGGTCTTGTATTAGGCACTGTTGATAGAGTGACAAATGCAACATGATTTCCTGCCTTCAAGGAGCTCGCAGTCATTCATGTTCAATTTAATTCTAAAAGTGTCTTAATTCCTTCTTTGAGTTCAGTGGTAACTGTTATAAGAGGATCAAAACAAATGTACTGTTAATGTTCCTATGATTTGTCTTTGCTCATTACATTAAAAAATCTTCCTTCTGGGAGATCTTTATGTAGGAAACATAAACTGAAACTACATTACTCCATGACATAGTTCAAGAATATTCATTTCTCTTTAGGCTTTCCACTGAGTATCCATGACTCAGGAACTCCCAGAAAGCAAAAACAAAACAAACAGAAAAAAAAAAAAAAAAAGCAAACTGGGCAACAGATTATTCAATATATATTGAATTCATAACACCCATGAGATTTATCATTTATAATAATTTAACCCCACCATTCGTCTGTTAGTTTGTTGTATTGTGGTGGCTTGCATGTTGCTGTGATGTGAGAAGCTATGCCACTGGTATTTCAAACACTGGAAGGGTCAGCCATGGTGAACAGGTTTCAGTGGAGCTTCTAGACTAAGACAGACTAGAAAGAAGGACCTGGTGATATACTTCTCAAAAAATTGGCCAGTGAAAACCTTACGAATAGCAGTGGAACAATGTCTGATATAGTGCTGGAAGATGAACCCCTCAGGTTGGAAGGTACTCAAAATGCAACTGGGAAAGAGCTGCTTCCTCAAAGCAGAGTTGATCTTGATGATGTAGATGGGAGTAAAGCTTTCAGGACCTTGATTTGCTGATGTGGCATGACTCAAAATGAGAAGAAACAGCTGCAAACATCGATTAATAATCAGAAGGTGGAATGTATGAAGTATGGACCTAGAAAAATTGGAAGTTGTCAAAACTGAAATGGAATGCATAAAGATCTATATCCTAGGCATTAATGAGCTGAAATGGACTGGTATTGGCCATTTTGAATCGCACTACTAAGCCTGGAATGACCAGTTGAAGAGGAATGGCGTCACATTCATCATCAAAAAGAACATTTTGAGATCTATCCTAAAGTATAATACTGTTAATGATAGCATAATATCTATACGCCTACAAGGAAGACCAGTTAATACAACTATTATTCAGATTTATACACCAACCACTAATGTCAAAGATGAAGAAATTGAAGATTTTTACCAATTTCTGCCATCTGAAATTGATCAAATGTGCAATCAAGATGCATTGATAATTACTGGTGATTGGAATGTGAAAATTGGAAACAAAGAAGAAGAATCAGTAGTTGGAAAATATGGCATTGGTGATAGAAACAATGCCAGAGATTGCATGATAGAATTTCACAAGACCAATGACTTATTCATTGCAAGTATCTTTTTCAACAACATAAATGGCAACTATACATGTGGACCTCACCAGATGGAATACACAAGAATCAAATTGACTACATCTGTGGAAAGAGACAATGGAGAAGCTCAATGTCAACAGTCAGAACAAGGTCAGTGGTCGATTGCCAAACAGACCATCTATTGCTCATATGCAAGTTCAAGCTGAAGCTGAAGAAAACTAAAACAAGTCCATGAGAGCCAAAGTACGACCTTGAGTATATCCCACCTGAAATCAGAGACCATCTCAAGAATAGATTTGACATACTGAACACTAATGACTTAAGTCCAGATGAATTGTGGGATGACATCAAGGACATCATAATGAAGAAAACAGAAGGTCATTAAAAAGACAGTAAAAAAAGAAAAGACCAAAATGAATATCAGAAGAGACTCTGAATCTTGCTCCTGAACATACAGTAGCTAAAGCGAACAGAAGAAATGATGAAATAAAAGAGCTGAGCATAAGATTTTGAGGCCAGCTTGAGAAGACAAAGTAAAGCATTATAATGAAATTGTAAAGACCTGGAGTTAGAAAACCAAAAGGGAAAAACACGCTCAGCATTTCTCAAGCTGAAAGAACTGAAGAAAAAATTCAAGAGTTGAAATATTGAAGGATTCTATGGGCAAAATATTGAATGACTCAGGAAGCATCAAAAGAAGAATGAAAGGAATACACAGAGTCACTCTACCAAAAAGAACTGGTTAACATTCAGTCATTTCAGGAGGCAGCATATGATTAAGAACTGATGGTATTGAAGGAAGAAGTCCAAGCTGCACTGAAGGCATTGATGAAAAACAAGGCTCCAGTAATTGACAGTTTACCAACTGAGATGTTTCAACAAATGGGTGCAACACTTGAAGCACTCACTCGTCTATGCCAAGAAGTTTGGAAGACAGCTACATGGCCAACTGACTGGAAGAGATCCATATTTGTGCCCATTCCAAAGAAAGGTGATCCAACAGAATGTGAAAATTATCACACAATATCGTTAATATCACACACAAGTAAAATTTTGCTGAAGATCATTCAAAAGCAGTAGCAGCAGTACATCAACAGGGAACTGCCAGAAATTCAAGCCAGATTAAGAAGAGGATGTAGGACAAGGGATATCATTACTGATGTCAGATAGATCTTGGCTGAAAGCAGTGAATACCAGAAAGATGTTTACCTGTGTTTCATTGACTATGCAAAGGCATTTGACTGTGTGGATCATAACAAATTATGGATAATATTGCAAAGAACGGGAATTCCAGAACACTTAATTGTGCTCATGTGGAAACTGTACATAGACCAAGAGGCTGTTGTTTGAACAGAACAAGGGGATACTGCGTGGCTTAAAGTCAGGAAAGGTGTGCGTCAGGGTTATATCATTTCACCATACTTACTCAATCTGTGTGCTGAGCAAATAACCAGAGAAGCTGGACTATATGAAGAAGAACCCGTCATCAGGATTGGAGGAAGACTTATTAACAACCTGTTATATGCAGATGACACAATCTTGCTTGCAGAAAGTGAAGAGGACTTGAAGCACTTACTGATGAAGATCAAAGATTACAGCCTTCAGTGTGGATTATATCTCAACATAAAGAAAACAAAAATCCTCACAACTGGACCAAAAAGCAACACGTGATAAATGGAGAAAAGATTGAAATTGTTAAGGATTTCATTTTACTTAGATTCACAATCAACGCCCATGGAAGCAGCAGTCAAGAAATCAAATGACGCATTGCACTGGGCAAATCTGCTGCAAAAGACCTCTTTAAAGTGTTAAAAAGCAAAGATGTTACTTAAGGACTAAGGTGTACCTGACTCAAGCCATGGTATTTTCAATTGCCTCATATGCATGCGAAAACTGGACAACGAATAAAGAAGACCAAAGAACTGATGTCTTTGAATTATGGTGTTAGTGAAGAGTATGGAATATACCATAGACCACCAGAAGAACAAACAGATCTGTCTTGGAAGAAGTACAGCCAGAATGTTCCTTAGAAGCAAGGATGGTGAGACTTCATCTCACGTACTTTGGACATGCTAGCTGGAGAGACCAGTCGCTACAGAAGGACATCATACTTGGTAAAATAGAGGGTCAGTGAAAAAGAGGAAGACCCTCAATGAGACAGACTGACACAGTGACCACAACAATGAGCTGAAAGATGGCAACAATTGTGAAGATGGAGAGGACTGGGCAGTGTTTCATTCTGTTGTACATACGATCGCTATGAGTTGGATCCGACTGACAGCACCTAACAACAACAGCAATTTAACCAGAAAAGTATGTTGACTAATCAGTGAATATTTGACATGTTGCTTTTCTAAATTAAAACAAAAATAATGACTAGGGAATGTATTAAACCTGGAATAGACTGAGCTTTCATCTACAAAAGCTGCCCACTTCCCCAAACGTTATAAGTAAGTAGTAGATGTTCCTTGAAACACGTACTTCCAAATCTATGGTCAGGCCATAGAGGCAGATCTGTGTCTCAAAGGTTATGGAATGAAGCTCTTCGGTCACCATGTGAGAGCCCTAAAGGAGAAAGAAATATATTGTTATCTTACAAATACATACTCGTTATCTACTATGATTAGGCCTGCTTCTATAAATATTAGTAAACCTTTAAATAAAAATAAATTCCCCAAAACATTCCCTCTTATTGTTTTAAAAGTTGTTTAAAATATATACATGGTTGGGAAAAAATCTTCATTTCCACAAACAGAATGATTTCTTTGTGTCAAAAACAAGATAATTTCTGGCTTTTAAAATTCCAGTATATTTTCATCAGCTGAAATTTAGACAAGTCATTCTTGTTTATTTTTAACTTTTGAAAATTAATCCTTTTGATTTACCATATTTTAATAAAAACAAGCTATATATGTGTGTTTATAATAGAAACTGGTCTTGGTGTCATAATGAATTTGTTTAAAAAGAAAGCAAGACATTCTCCTAGTTAAACATGGCAGCTGAATACGAGCATTTTCCTCTGCTCTCTCCAGAAACTCCAATAAAGTAACAGCTGGAGTTTTATTTACTTTCCCATAAAGTAAAACTGGAAGCTTGATCCCTGAGTGACAGGTGGGGGAGTATGGAATGAGAGTAACAAGAAGAGTCCCATGTGCCTCAGAACCCAGGGGTTGGAAGCACTAAGCTCCTTTGAGGCTGGAGAGTAGAAGAGGGCTGGGCACGAGGGCATTGCTAGACAGTCAGGATAAGGGGAGGGACTACCTAGGTTGCTGGTGGAAGGAAGTTTCAAAAAAATCAATTGTACAACAGCATCAGAGGACAACCAGTCCATACTGGAGCAGGAGGACAAAGAATCCCAGAAGGATGGTACCAAGGGAAAAAAAAAAAAGAAGAGGAAGAAGAAAAAGAATTCATAGATCAGTATATTTGACCATATTGTGAGGAGTTTTTCTAGTTCTGAAGGAAAGTTTGGGGCAACATTAGTGACAGATACATACAAAATTTTATTCAACTGTTAAATCCAGGGAAAACTAAAAGTGATACAAGACTGGAAATACAATCATAGTGTGCTATGTGGCCCAGCTGTGAACAATTTTTATATAATCACAGCAATGTAAACATTGAATATATTGATTAAACCAAGATATGTTATATAATAATACCGTAAAGATGGGGAAAATTTATATGTATGGCAAGCTGGTATAAGAGGCCCATAGTTTGATCTCTTTTGTGGAAAGAATTCAGGAGTTAAGTGTTTAAAATTTTTTTAAAAATGAAGAAATGCCGGTATTAGCATGATATTTGCTGCTTAAAAAATGATCATCTGTGGGGAGTGGGACTTGGGGGGGTGGCGTTACTGTTTTTTTCTTGAAGAAATCTTGCATCACTTTGCTATTCAGAGTGTGGCCCAGGACCAGCGGCGTTGTCATCATCAAAAAGGTTTTTAGATAAACGGAATCTCTGGCCCATCACAGGCCCATCTGAATTAGAGTTTGCATTTTAACAAGATGCCAGGTGGAATTTGGGAGGCAGTTATACTCAATGCAGTGTATCCACTTTGTGCTTCATCTCCAAAGCGATGTGGAGAAGTTGAGATGGTATAGAAAGCTTAATCAAGTTCAAAAAACAAGCCCTGTGAGAAGATGTGAACAGAAGTAAATTATCTAAACCAGAAAACTCAGGATAGAGGTGGGGTTGGAAGTGGCAGGATCAGCTCTGGGAGAAAGGGTGATCTAATATTGATATGGGTTAGTAAGTCAGAATTTATTTCCATTAAAATTAAAACCAAAAATAAGTCTAAAATGATAATGGTAGTCCTGGTGGTACAGCAGTTAAGTGCTCTGCTGCTAACCAAAAGGGTGGTGGTTTGAACCCACCCAGTGGCTCCACGGGAGAAAGACCTGGCAATCTGCTTTAGGGAAGGTTATAGCCTAGGAAACCCTATAGGGTCACTATGAATTGAAATCAACTCGATGGCACCTAACAACAACAACAATTATATGATAACATGAATAATACTTATATGAAGAAGACTTTATCGATAATAAGGTATGTTAAACTTAGGATTTGTTAGAAGTAGAGAAAAACTCCTCTTTCCTTTTGACTAGGTCATTGTGGTACCTCACCTTACCTGAGGGTAGCTAGATGGACTCGAATGGAATCACTTTTGACTAGGTTAGTAGAAAGTTCTACATAATGAAAATTCCCCTTAAAATCCCTTGTTGTTGTGTGCCTTTGAGTAGAACCCAACTCATAGTGACCCTATCTGACAATACATCTGCCCCATAGGGTTTCCTAGGCTGAAATCTTTATGGAAGCAGATCAACAGGTCTTTCCTCCCGTGGAGCTGCTGGTGGATTCGAACTGCCAACCTTTTGGTTAGCAGCTGAGCCCTTAACATTGCTTAGAACACCCATAAAATATAGTGCAGGACGATCTCCCAGTACAAGTACACACTCAACAGCCACTTCCCTCTGTTTTTCCTCTACCCTTCAGTGTTGCAACAAATTGCTGGGTTTTTTTTTTGTTTGTTTTGTTTTGTTTTTTGGTAGAGCACGAGATGAGTAGTTGGCTTGTGTTTAGGCACCAAGTTGAACAAAAATCTATTTTTAAACAATAGAAATCTCACTGTCCTTTGGGGGCACTATGCAAAGCACTAAGCCCAACTGAGGAATCCACCACTTCCATTTCACATTCACCACTAGGTGCCTTTCACGTTCACACTGAGTGCGGTGGTGCATAGGATGGTACAAGCTGCTGCAGAACATTTGTGAGGCCTGAGGCAAGCACACAGATGGAGACCCATGCACCATATGTCTAAATATTTAAACATTATAAATCAAGTTAACAAACTGTTAAAATATGGTCTAGCCTCTTGCCTTGACATAGAAGATTTCAAATGACCTAATCAGCCAGATTTTAACTCCTCAGAGTTCCGTTGGAACACGGTGGTTCAGAGAGAGTTGGCTTCTGGACCACGGCCCACCTGGAATGCCTGTTGTGGCTCCTTGCCCTCTCCTGTGCCTAGTAAATTTTAAATTGATGTTTCCATCTGTGCTTGGAAGTCCTGAAAGGAGAACTGAGGTCTTTTGGGCTGGGAATTCTGGGGTCCCAAACTCTGGGTGAGCACATTGCCTTGACCCACATATTTCTTTCTTTGTAGGGGGTGGGGTGCAGCTGGAGGCAACAAAGGGAGCTGTTTTGAGTATGAGGTCCCATGCCTCCCTGATTCTAGCTGCTGTAGTTTAGTTTGTAGACTTAAATGTACATATGATGTGATCTCATCATTCCCTCAGACAGTTTAGTTATAGGACCTGTCTGTTCACCATCCAAACTTTTCATCCAAGCTGAAAAGTGTGAGAAACCAGGATACCACATTCAGAGACAGAGCAGTGACCCTCAGGATGGCCTACTAACTTTGAAAAAGGCTTCATGCTTTACATATTAGTAAACTGAAATGGGAGTGGTGAGAGGTTTTCTCAGTGATTCAAACTATAACAGAAACCAATTTCTAATATTTACTTAAAAACCTTGCCACAGTTGTGAGGCACATCTAGAAAGAAATCCAGGAACGAAGCTGACATACAATCCACATAATGAGAAAAGAAGCTTTTGACAAATGGTAGCATCATTAATTTTCAAAGCTTTCAAGGCCATCAATAATAGTCTTCATTATTCTTTCAGTGCAGTTCAAGCCAGAGACACTATACAATTTCATATTACCAGGGTGTATTTCCTACAGGTTGGGAAAATGTCATAGACAAGATGCACCATTAATGTCTGTATGAAAAGCCATTTTTATCATCTGAGATGATTACAGATTTAAAATATCCATATTTATGATATTTATATTATATGGCACTGAATATTATCCTGGATTGACTGTTCTATACTTCTAAAGAAAACTACCCGTTGGATAACCTGCTAAGAAACTGGAAAACTGGCCAAGCAACTTGACCAGGACACCATCTGGAAAAAAGCACACAACCTTATCAAAGGTAGGTCCTGATGTCACCATATTCTTTTTTGTTTCCTCTGCTCAGTGCTTCATAGTACACTTTGGAAACTTAGAATATACTAGCAAATGGTTATGACTTTTTGGCTTGAAAGAAAACTTCTGCTAAGAAAAATATGACTGGAATAAGAACAATTTTCAGCCAACTTTCTTACTTGTCTCTTAACAAGTTGTAATCTGTAATGATGGTGCTCATTGAAAACCATGTGATATAGAAAATAATTAAAATAATCCATTCACCTAATGAATATTTATTGTGCATCTATTATGTGATAGATACTGAGTTAGTTGCTGGGGAACAATGATGAGAACAACAATAACAAAAAGGTACAACCACACAACATAGCCCTTAATCACAAAATCATAAAAAAAGAATGCAAAATCCAACTATATTCAGCCAGTAAAATAAGGCTGCTGTACAGATGACATTACATTCTAAGAACTCTAAGTTTTTTTAGTGCTATTCTTATACCAATTTCTCCCTTAAAAAAAAAAGTGTTGCAACTACTTAAATTAGTTCATAAGGAGATCAACTTCCTGTGAAAATGCTTGGGCTACTTGGAGTGTGAGTAGTGTGTTTGTGTTTGAGAACACTGAACCTTGAAAGAACATCTGTTTGCCTATTTTGTTAAATGAAACTCAAGTCATCCAGGCTTTACTAATAGTAATAGTGTCTTTGTGCTTCACGACTCTCCACCACATAAACAAAATTACCTAACACCTCAGTCTGTGGTTAAAACTGTTATTTATCAGTTAAAGCCTACTGACAAAGTACAAACTCAAGAGACGGCAATTCCAGCTTCCCCGTTCAAACAGTTTTCACATTTCAACAATCACTCTCTTGCTCAGTCCTTGCCAGATAAGGACCTCTGGGGAAAGGTTGCTTCCTGGGAATGTTTGTATTACAAGGTACAGACTGATGGCTTCCAAGTTTAGCCACATGCTAGATGATGGAATCGTTTCTTCGTTGTGACTCTTCCAAGGAAAGAACAAAGGTTGGAGAAAGAGGCAGCGATTATTAAACATGACTTTGTGGCAGTGTGTCTTCAGTTTCCTCAAGGGGCATTGTGAAATTCCAAAGCAAATTCTTAAAATTAAATTCACTAAGAAAAAAAATTTAAAGACCTTATTCTCTCTTTGCAATTCTGAGGATTATAGAATCTTAGTTTAAAAAGCCTGAGAGATTTTCTAGTCCAATGGTTTTCAAATTTTTTAACCCTTGGAACATGTTCTTGAAAGTATATTTTCCACCCGTGTTCCAATATGTAAAATACATAAAATAGAGTTGCCTTGATTGAAACATGGGTTGGGACCCAGAGTTCCACCTTCCAGCAAGCCCCATACAGAGGTGGCTCCTGAGGCACGTCTTTGGTCTCTCTGAGCCTTCTGGGAACAGCATGGGTCTCCCTCTTCTCTTCACACATATCTAAATACAGGAACCCTTGTACATCCTGACAGGTCATCTCTTGTTTGATAATCTGAGCCAAATAACCACAAAGGTACTGCAATTCTAAGAAAGTTAGGAATGGAGACTTTAGGGAAATAGATGATTCATAACATCTTGGTATGTTCTTGATCATTAAAAAACTCTCCAACTCAAGTTCTCATAACCACAAAAAGCAGAACTGAGAGACCTAAAGTTGTGTGTGTATGTGGTGGGGGTGGGAGGCAGTGGGGTGGTTAGGAACCTGAGATATGGAATCCTATGAAAGATGCATACATAAATGGTGGTCTGAGGTTTTAAGGAGCTGGAGCCAGAATATAGAAATGCTCATAGGAGTCATGTCTCCAACTCAGCACTTGGTGGGTAGCAACTTGTCTTAGGGCAGTTTTCTCACCTGTGCAAGTACCTGCTCTTACAGAAGGGGCATCATGGCAGTCTAATCAGTGACAGCCATAGCAAACATCTACACAGCACATTACCGTTGACTTTCACACACTCCATTCTCATATGATCCTCACAACAACGCTATGGAGTGTACGTTAACATTCTCCTCCTTGTATAGATAAGGAAATTGGGAGTTAGAGGGGTTATGTAGCTGGTGCAGTTAGACTGCTTGTAAGAAGCCGAGCCCACCAGGGTGCTGTTGCTACTACCCCACCAATGCACAACAGAAATGCAAAAGGAAACATGGCAGACAAGGAAACAGTTGAGATCATTTTCTGAAGAAGCATTATTTTAAATTCTTTCTAAACTTTGAAATGATTCTGGCGCGCAGTAGCTACGTGATTTCTGAGACTGCAGGATAAGTGTAGACAGCAGCAGCAGGAGCTGGAGTGGAGGGGAGCTGTGAGCTCCCTCGTAGGAATCCCAACAAGCCGAACACGTATGATGAGATAAAGGGGTGGGGGTGGGGGGAGAGGGGAGGAGTCAAGAGGAGTGCCAACCAGTTCGGCCTCGCTCAGGGAAGGTTTTGCAATCCCAGAGGCGGCACAGCACAGCGGCCTAGAGCGTGTTCAGGAGAACCAGATTGCAGCAATTCGAATTGTGAAGGCCCTGCCTCTTCCTGCCCGTGTAACCTTGAGTAAGTTGTGTGACCGCCCTGTGCCTCAGTTTTCCTAACTGTGAAGTACGCGTGACACTAATAGTAGTACCTTCTTCATAGCGTTGTTGCAAGAGTTATGTAAATCAGTATTAGTGAAGCTCTTCGATTAGTGTCTCGTATATAGTAAATGACACACGAGGGTTTGTTAAATAAATTCTTATGAGGCTGTGAACTCTGCCATACATCGCAGCACCTTTCTGAAACTTGAAAACGAGGTTATGATGTCCTGCTTCCTGCTTTCTCACAAGTTTAGTTACCACAGTCCCTGCCCGCCCTTGACTTTACGAACCCTGCTCTATCACCATCTCTTTCCCGGTATTTCATAACTTTCCTTTGGTCACCCCATCTGACTGGCTGAGCCTCTGATTCCCTGGCTTGTCTTCCTAAGTCCACCTCATATATTTTGTGACTTTTCCACCGTTCCTGAACAACGTTCAAGCTTGTGGTTGCTTTTAAATGTACCTAGGTGTCATATTAAAATTCTATCAACAGGGGGAGCTCAAAGAATAGCTTACAATAAAATTATCCTGATTTAGCAAGTCTGAAAAAAAGCAAGAAAAATCGTTCTGATATGGCTGCAAGATTTTGCTATTAATTGGAAAATAAGAGCAAATAAATTCAAAGTAATATAAAAAGACATTGTTAATAAGATAGTGGCTGGTTTTCCTATCGTAGAAGATGATTTACTGAGATTTCCATCTCTAGGGACATCCAAAGAAAGATTTTGATTTTGCATTCATCAAGATGACAATGTACTGGGGAGTCGGGCTATTTCTATTTATTCCCATTTGGGTTTTTTCTTTTTTTAAGGTAAAAAAAGCTCAGAAGAATTGTGTTTAGTCTGTTCAGACTTAGTATATAATATATAGGAATGTCAAGTTGAATGAAACGCTGACCAAAATTCCAGTGAGATGGATGAAATGGCCTTTTATTTATAATGTGCTAATGCTTCACAAATGTTTAGAAAACCTTGATGGATTTCTATAAGGTAGAAGGAATATCTCCCTCTTATTTATATTAGCAGAAGATCCTTAAACTCAGAAGGCCTGCTCACGTGATTATCTTGTGCTGTAGAGACATGGTTAAGGGAATGAAGAATTCTTGGAGGGGAGAATGGTAGGGCAGTCGACCTTTTGTGATGGATCTTTGTGGTTTTGCGGGGTGTTCTAGACTGACTGAACTTGAATGCTGGATTTATAAAGTGCTTTTCTTCCAAATAATTCAAAGATCTTTCTCATAGGAACTATGACTATAAAGCCACGAAATTAAATCCATTCAAACACCCCAAAAATAGACCTCCCTGCTTTATAACTGCCTCACGTGGGTGATCTGACATACGCAGCGTCTCTGAGCAGGCAGAGTTGGGCAGTACTACCCTGATATCTTAGGGGGGGAAAATGCAGTATTTCTTGATTAGATCATTTGTCAAGACTCACATTTTCAGAGCATGGATTCAAACCCAGGCTTTCTAATTCCAAAAATGTAAGGAAAGAACAGACGTCCAGCCTAATAAATAGATGATCTCCCAGGTCACTTCTAATCCTGGATTTGACGAGTCTATCATTTACCGGAAGTCCCTAGATGGTGCAAAAGGTTAACTGTGTTTGGCTGCTAGCCAAAAGGTTGGAGGTCAAGTCCACCCAGAAGTACCTGGGAAGAAAGGCCTGGTGATCTACTTCCGAAAATATCAGCCATTGAAAACTCTGATACACAAGGGGTCGCGATGAGTCAGAATCGACTCAACAGCAACCGGTTTACCATTTACTAACTCAAATGCAAGTGCTCAGTCTGCTTCAGTTTGTTCTTTTAATCAGTTCATCCTGTGGAATAAAAACCTTAAATATAAGCAAGGGTTAATTGATACCAGAAAGTAATAAGGTTGTTTTCACCCGTGATTTCCTCATAATGTGTCCTGAGTTTTGAGCCTTACCTCATATCTATGGGAAAATGAGTGATTTTCATTTCTTTAGGACTGGCTAAAAAATTATGGCACATCTGTAAAATGCAATATAATGCAACCACTTTAAATCATGTCCTCCAAGAATGTTTAAAGTAATGGAAAGCAGTTCACCATACCTGGCTATGTGAAAAAGCAGATTATGAAATAATGTGTACTGTGTCTTTTTAGAGTAATATATACACAGATAAAAGACTGGAAGGATGTGTTGTGTACCAAAATGTTGATAGTCATTTTCTTTTGAGAGTTTATTATACGCAAATTTTATTTTCTCCTTATTTTAAATTTCCCATACTGTCTTCAATTATCAAGCTTTATTTTTGTAATCAGAAAAGTAAAATTGATTTTATTTAAAAAAAGGATAATTTAAGAATTTTATAAAAATAAGATACTATAGAATTGTATCTTAGAAAATTTCTCTGAGAGAAAATATTTCCTACCTCATTTCCTTTGCTTCCAGCACTGGATTTCATTTCTTTTGGTTGCTTTGTAAAAGAAAACAACAGTGTTTAAATGGAGAAGCATTATCAGCTAAATGTCAAGCAGTTGTACCTGTTGTAGTGGTTTTCTTGGCCACAATTTTTGACTTCTAAAATAGTAACCCAAAGATGTCTAACTCATTGAAACCTGAAGTAGTTCCCCAGACTCAACAGAAAGGAGCTTTCTGTCTTACCGCATGGGGTGTCACTTTAAAAATATCAGTGCATCAAGTGACCAAGTTGGCATACCATTTTTCAGCCAATAGTTTGAAAAGAGGAAATCATCTAGGATCTTTTAGAATCTCTTCAGTCCTCCACTTTGGAGGACTGAGGTAAACTGGATGATAGCACCTAACCCCCGTGAAACCAAGTCTAACGCAGAGAACTGGCAAAGTAAACTATGGGGTGGTGTGCCATATGGCACGTTAAGCTGTTAAATGGTGGTATGGTAGAAGACAACTTAACTGATGCAAAAAAAATATTCGTAATATAAATTACAAAATGGAAAAAGGCAGAGAACAAATTATGTAGTAATTTATTTAGGAAAAAAGAATGAAAGCATAAAATAAGCATGTTAGTATTACCTCGAGGTAGTGAGATTATAGGTGATTTTTCATTTTTTAAATTTTGCTTCTCTGATTTTCTACATTTACTTTTATATTAAAATGTGATTAAAGTTATTATGCAAAAGATAATATATATGAAAATTCTTTCCAACTAGAAGAGCACTGTAAAACTACGGTTTTGTTATTTTATGTATGATACCTGCTGGAATAAGAACTTAACCGTTTTTTGGTGTGCTCCTTGTCCTTTCTTTTCCACATGACTCTTGGGAGACAGGCATCTTTAAGTTAAGGGCCTCTTGCTGCTCTGCCTGTTACCCAGTATTGAAAGTTCCTTGAGGACAGGAATTGAGCCTAACTAAAAAGTGCTGATTACAAGAAAGTAAAATGCATGGCTCAATACATTTTATTTCTTTGGCAATCTCACGTGGGAGAGATTCAATTAAAAAGAAATACACTCTTCAAAACTGAAGACCAAACAAAAACGAAAACCAGCATTTGGAATTATATAAATTTGCGTTTGCAGATACCTTTCTGTTAACCTAGATATTATCTTTTAAAAAGTAGACCTTTTGGTGCCCAGACACTCAGGTGAGATACTTCCTAATGTTAAAAACCAGACAAGTAACGTGTTTCTGGCAAGAGAAGTAGTAGGCTTTTTGGGAATCTAAGAATTATGCAAAAAAATAAGAAAGGCAGGAAGAGAACTCTAGGTTAAGAGGAAGTGGTAAAAACAAGAAGCAACAGGATGGGGCTGGGTCAGAAGCTTTCTAGACATGCTAAGGCCAACTTGGCTGCAGCAGTCATACCCAGGGACATAATATTTCCCCAAATTATCCTCCTGAAATGCAAGCGCTTTTAGCCAGACATGTTTTTATTGGGTATCACTTCTTGGTGAAAATTAAAAATTGAAACCAGGAAAGCCTATCCATTATGAAACAGATTATCCCTGTCATTAGCATAAAAAAAAAATGACCAGCTGCTGCATAACTTAGTCCTACAACATCATGGAGTCCCCGGGTGGTGCAAATGGTTACTGTGCGTGGCTGCTACCCAAAAGGTTGGAGGTTTGCATCCACCCAGAGGCACCTCAGAAGAAAAGTCTGGCACTCTACTTAAGACAAATCGGCCATTGAAAACTCTACGGAGCACAGTTCTATTCTGACACACATGGTGTCGCCATGAGTTGGAATCGACTCAACGGCAACTGGTATATTACTGGTACATCACCACTGTGAAGAACTCAGACTTTCTGACTTCAAGTTCAGTGCTCTTTCTACCATTTTAATTCTTCAGTGATGGCATGTTTTGTTCATCAGCATGGGACTTAACCTCATATAAGAAGCCATAAAGAAGAAAATATACTGAATTATAAGGACTGTTAATATAGATGTACCTGATTTATAAAAAAATTAAAGTTGTGTAATTTTACTGCCAAACTCACCAAATGTCGAAATTCCACTGAGAGACTCCCGTTAGAAGATTCTTCAATGGACATGGCTTTGACATGAGTTCCACAAAGAACAAATCTTCGATTGCTGGAGAGGAAATCTTAGCTATTTACATGGTCACCGGTAAAATGTATTTACGAGAACAGCAAAAAAAACTTCTACAAAGTAAATGTCTTACCTTAGAGTTGAAACATTCCTGTAAAACCAAGAAGATTCTTGAAATGAGATATTGAATAGATCTAGTAAAAATATTCTATCATACTTTAGAGGATGGTCTATAAAATTTCATTTGAAATCTTTATAGTAAATTTTTTGAGTAAGTCCTCATCGGAGCTCTGGTAAGTATTTGAATTTTAAAGTCACATATTTGAAGTACATTGATATGTAATGGTAAATGAGTAAATTATAAAGTTTAAAATCATTCTATAAAATTAGGGCAATTCATTAAACACCTCTTACATTTTCTCTTTTTGAAATGAAATTCGAAACTTACTTGTCAATTGATGCTTTAACCTTTACCTGATAGTTTAACTCTGGCAACTTTATTAGTAGTCTGAAAAGAAACATCAATAAATAATCAAAGATCAACTTTAAAGTGTTACAGCCATCTTTTATTTCACTTAAATATTTAACTGTATTTATGGCATATACATACAAATCCAACTTACAATATCTACATTTGTATATTAGTATGTTCTAAAAGTGTACAATTCCTCTTTAGTTTGCCATGTTACCAATGAATTGTTGACATCAGCCACTTAATATGATTATTTACAAACACTTGAAAAGTGTTTCCAAACGCTGAAAATTTGAAATGTATTTGGATAATACATTGGCCAGGTTAGGAAAATGGTGTCTATTTAGGCCAAAATTCAAATTCTAGCTAAATATATAAATACAAGAAAAATTATTTGAAAATATATTAATATGGCTCCATTTTATACTTACATTATGAAAAACAATTATTTGTAAGCTTAGTAAAACTAAATGTTTTGATGATAACTGTTTTATGATGAAAATACTGAGAAAGATTATGCCTCTGGTAGAATATGTACAATCCCAATTCAAATGCACTTGTAATCTTTAAACATACTATATTTAAGTAACAGCAAAAGTGTTCGTAACTAGAAAAGACCTAACTTCAAACAACTTAACAGTGATTGAAGTTCAGAATAACAATTCTTTTAATTCCTTCTTCTGGTATCAGCCCTTCCTTTATTCTTTTGTTTTCCCCAACTCCTCAGAGCTTGTCCTCTGATGCACCCTGTCTGTGGGTTTTGTTCAGTTTCTGAGATATTCAATCACTCATTCATTCATTCACTCTCACATTCATCCCAGTTCTTGCCCACTTATTCAGCACGTATTGAGCTCCTGATATATACCTGCCATGCCTCCAGGTAATAGGGAACTATAGAGAAGGGAAGATGGGGCAAGGAGAAGTGTGGACCTGGCTAATCAGCATTAGAGAAATATAATCATAGATAATGGACATTCTCAACAAAAGTGTAGGTAGAATGTAGCAATGGCTCCTTAAATGTTCTGAACAAGGCACAGCATTGGTGTCAGGCTTTGGGGTAGGATAAGTGTGCAGTAGTTGTTAGTAATGGGAAGTTAAGAAGAAGGATGTTCATATGAAAAGAGGCAAGATGTTTTCCCTCTCTGTCTTCCATTCAGTCCTACTTCTGATAAGCTGTAAGAAGCTGTTGACTAACAATGGAGTCCCGTGTCATCCCTGCCTTTGGAATAGGAGGATGCAGTGCCATGATAGAGAGGAGTTTTAGGGAAAATCCTGAATACTATGTAAAGGACCATCTATCAAGACAGTGGGGAGCAGGGTACAGAGAGAAGAATGGGGATCTAACAGTCAGGTGGAAGAGAAGGGCAGAACCCCCAAACCAGGGACTAATGACCTATTTCCTTGGCAACCAGTTCAAATGTGCAAGGTGGTGCTGCTTCAGGGACCTCTTGCACTCAGAATTCTTTGCTGAGTAATTCCTACTCATCTTCCTTTTCATCTCAGAGAGCGTCTTAGACTCACCATATCACCTACGGGAGTGTCTCAAGGAAAAGTAGGACGTCCTCTACCTCTCTATCATATTTCCCTTTATTGTTACTGTCCTCTGGGTTATACAGAGTTGGGAGGGATAGGAATAAACAACTCTTGAAAAGAATAAACTTTTAAAAGGGAACCTTACTTCTGCCTTCAGTTTTTCGTTCTTAAATCTTGCTGTAATGCTCACACAAAGGAACTGATTAAGAATTTTAATTAAGGATTTTGAAATGCAAACTAAAGACAAACACCTTCTTTAAAAAAATGGAGTTCCAATAGCGATACGTGATCAGGGACCCTATCATGGGACCCCTAAACTGCTCTTTACCTTGGGATCATCACCTTTTGATGCATTAATCTTTCAGTGGTTACCTGTTGTTGTTGCTATGTGCCATTGAATCAATTCCGATTCATAGGGACCCTGTAGGACAGAGTAGAACTGCCCATAGGGTTTCCAGGGAGCCGCTGGTGGATTCAAACTACTGACCTTTTGGTTAGCAGCCCAGTTCTTAACCATTGTGCCACCATGACGAGTGATCAGGAATTTACGGGTTTAGATGTTGGTACCTGAGGCATGATTGACATTTTTGAAAGAACTTAAATTCATTGTTTTAAGTGTCATTAGGGAAAACTGTAAGTTTTATTGCTCGTGGACAGGATCAAATACACAGACAAAGCAAAGCAACAATAACATAAAAGTCTGTGTCTTTAAATCAGGGTACATGGTGAGGATACACTGAAAATTATGTTGTTGAGAGTTTTGGTGGAAAATCCAATAAGCTAGCTACTAGGTAGTTACAGGAAGAATGTGCCACTGTATTTCCTGGATAGGGCATTCAAGGCTTCCATAGTCTGCCCTCAATCTATCTTTTCAATTCTATCATCCTGTTCCACAGTGTCAACATAGATACAGGAAACCTTTATTTCTCTTGTCTCACTGTCCTACAATCCTCCTCCCTTCCCCTCTCTGCTCTTCCCTCACAGCCCCTCTCTCACAGTGGCCATAAAGCTTTTCCAATCTCTCCAGTCTTCTCTCAAGTCAGCCTTTCCAACTATTAATCCCATATTGCCCAATATCATACTTTCATGCTGATATCCCTCATCTACACTGTCATGCTCTTGACAAGTAGGGTCCTCATCTTAACATTTCTCTGGGTATTTACCATACCTTGGTGTCCCTGGGCGGCTCAAATGGCTAGGCGTTTGGCTGTTAATGGAAAGTCCACACAGAGGCACCTTGGAGGAAAGTTCTGGCAATCTACTTCCAAAAAATCAGCCATTGTAAACCCTGTGGAGCACAGTTCTACTCTGACACAAATGGAGTTACTATGACTTGGAATTGACGGCAACTAGTTTTTTTTTTTTTTTGTGAGGGGAGGGGGGTGTTTACCATATCTCAATGCTGGTCATACAGGAGGCGCTCAATAAGGAGTACTTAAATTACAACACAATGAGAGAAACCGGCCTTCATGAGGTAGTAGCTGTAGCTCCATAACCAAATGAAACAATAGAGTGCATTTTGCCTACCTTAGCTTTACAGTGAACTGAATGAGGGTTTTCAGTACCATTGGCCTCTGAGGGTGGGTTGGCATGCATGGCTGTCGTTCAACCACAAAGGAGCTAGATTAAAAGGAAAAAAAGTGCATCATTCGAAAACATTGAAAATAATGACAGACTGAAAACCACAGAGGAACAGGATGCTGTCCTCTCATAAAGTCCAAATTTTTCTTCACTTAGAAGAGGTTCAAACTCCAATATTAAGCTCAGATCTTTACAATGACGTCTCATAAATAATTACCATAATGTGGGAAAATGCCTAAAGATTGTCCCTAAGTAACAGTAGTAAATAATTCTCAATCATACTTTGAGTCAAGAATAACAGCCCCAGTCCATTTTTATCATACTAAACATAAAGTAGAAAGTTAAATCCATGCCATTTCAAATTAAATATTAGTATTTCTGATATAGACAATTTTTTTTTTCTTTAGATGAGCTTCAGTTCTGGACTATGCACCTAAGAGGAAACCCTTGTAATCTTTTCTTCTCAAATGTAAAAACTGAGGTGTAGGTGGGTGATGTAATGTAGCTCATGGAAAACTGAGCCAGTTAGTGGGAGAAGTGTTGATGAACAAATGGTGAAGAGTAGAAATGAGGTTTCTGGACTCGCCGGGGCTGTGTTCACTTCACCCCAAGGCTCATTGTTGAACACTTCCCTGCCACTCTTTCACCTAAACAAAAACCCCAAGCAGCCGGTCCTTATGATTCTGTAGGTTGCCAAGAGACATTTAAATTGTTAACACTTGACTTACTTCTTGAAAAGATTGTAGATCAAGAAGGTGACTCTTTCTAGCAGGTGCGTTCTTTGCAGTGGGATGGGATCACCTTCATAAGTCATTTTGGTAGATTGCTCCTCTAATTTCTCCAATTGCCTTCTGAGCTGGAAGAGACTTTCTGCCAACAGTGTAAAGCTGTCGAACCGCAAATGAAGATCAGAGATAGTTTTTCCACTTAACCATCGACCATTTTAATAATTGACCATATTTAACAAATATTAAATTATTAAGTAATTATTAAATTAATCATTTAATTCCATTTAAGTTTAGGGACAAGTCTTTATTTTTATCTTCCTAATCTACCTTTTCTCTAATATGCATCCTATATATGAAATGTTTTCTAATTTATAACTTGAGTTTTAGACAAGAAATTATTTCTGAAATTTTGTCAACATCTAGAACAAATCCTTTTGGTTTAATTATTCTTTGCTTAAAAATATGATATATATGTATATATACATGCATATATATGAAACTAACCCCCTAAATGTATTTTTTTACACGTTTTTTAAGTATTAGTCAAAAATTATCAATGACTTTCTCTGGAGTCCTGGTAGTGTAGTGGTTAAGCATTTGGCTGCTCTCTAAAAAGTTGGCAGTTCGAATGCACCAGCCACTCCTTGAAAACCCTATGGGCCAGTTCTACTCTGTCGTATAGGGTCACTATGAGTCAGAATCGACTCCACAGCGATGGGTTTATTTTTCTTTTCTTCGTCTGGAGAAAGGTATATTTAGAAATGCTTGCCCCTGGTATCTACTTGGAGTTTTACTCACTGTGTGGTGATCTTAGGATAGACATCTAAGGAAGAGAGAAAATGAAAGGGACACCAAAACCAAACCTATTGCCATCCAGTCGATTCCTACTCCGATTCATAGTCAACTTCATAGGACAGAGTAAAACTGTCCCATAGGGTTTCCAAGGAGCAGCTAGTGGATTCAAACTGCCAGTCTTTTAGTTTGCAGCCATAGCTCTTAACCACTGCGCCGCCAGGGCTGAGGCAGAAGGTCTCATCCAAGTTGAGAAGTCTGTCTGGCCCTGGCAGCATGTCTTTCTACTTCAAGTTTATTCCACACATAACATTGTGGAAGACCTGTCAAAGAGTAACTAGATGCTGATTTTTGGTATGAGCACCATTACTTGCTAAGTTCTTCATTGCCCCCTTTGTGATTTATCTTGTTTTTACAATAACACAGTGTAGAGAGGTTAGAGAATCAAAGTTTCTCACCAAGGAAAATCAATATGTGTTAAAATGAACTCAATCCCTTGTTTCTCTTGAGAAGTAGGCCTGGCAGGGCAGAGCACTTAGTGAAAGTGCCCAAGTTACTCTGTTTCCATTGTATTTAATTGTAGTCTTCAAAAGCAATTTTGGATTTCAACCGAACATTTCCTTTTTCATTATATTTTCTATTTTTTCTTTTAATTGGATAGTTTTATTTTGCACTTATAAAGGGAAAACCTTATCAATATTTTTATCTTCTAATGCAAAGGATTGTAGTATATATCTACACTTGAATGCATGTATGTGTAAATATATAGAGAATGCCATATTGTATTAGCTATTTGAGATACTTCATTAATTTCAAAAGTAAATCACGGACTAATGTTGAAAACACAAAACTAATGCTTAACTCTGATCTTAAGATACACATTTACACACTGAAATTTCTTTCTTTAAGCTTTTGAAGCTAGTGCTTCTTTATGCCCTGAAAGAAAATGCATTGCTGGCTTAAAAAATTAGTTTGAGTCTTTTAAGGTTGATATCTGTGAAAATTAAGCAATTCTTATGTATTCTATATATGATTCATTTTCCCCAAAGAAATAAAAATTAAGAACACTTATACAATAACATCCATTTGTTTTCAACTGTAGAGTTCCCAGCTGCTAATAAAGCACCAATAAACTACATGAGTTGAGTGCTCTGGTCTAAGCCTGCAGTTCCCTGGCTGAGTAACACTGAAGTTTCGTACTTCCTGTGGTTTTCACTAGAATCTAAAGTCAACTTGTTTTACCAGTTTTGAAGCTGGTCGAGCCCATTATGGAGTGGACCTCCGATGCAGGCGATTTGCTGCCGCCTCTTCCAATCTTGCAGCTCTTCTATTAGCATGCTGTTCATTAACAGGTCCGTTTCATTGATTATCTGTGTCATCTTACTAAGGGTTTCCTAAAAGAAATGGTGACTACTGAAGAGATTTTCGTGAGAAACAACCAGTAACTCGTAATTCAGCCTGTAAAACACTTTGTCTGACCTAGGGAATAAGGGCTTGGACAAAATTTAGACCAAATATTTTTACCAAATATTGACTTCTGTTTGCCATAGCACTATATTTTCAATGAATTATTGCAAATAAAAAGTCCCAAGGAAAGAAACATAACCACACTTCAAAACTCTCATAATATCTTCCTTTCAGTATAAATATGTTGAATTCGTAACTCCCGTAACAATAATATTGAATGTTGTAAGCCTTAAAACCATGTCTGCTTTTTAAAAGAATGTTTATAAATTTAATTTATATTCTTATAAATATGTTTATACATTCCCTAAAAAACATGGATTGAAATTTGAGCTCTTGTGCATTAATTTTTATGAGGACTTTATCTGGGTTTTTGGAGGCATAGTGAAGAAGTGTAGCAAATAACATGGTACGCCTCTTAGAAACGTTGCGGCTTATTCATTCAGACTACTAAATGGAATGGACAAAAAAGAGCTTGATTCTTTTCAGGAGGACTAGGTTTAGGGAAAGGAGAAAAACATTAGGCAAAAAGGTCAGTTAAAATTCTTCACTAACCTTTCTCTTGAAGTCAAGGCTGTTAAGCATTTCTTGCAGAGTCAAAATTTCCTGATTCATCAGGACACTGTTCTTGTCCACCTGATCTGCAATGGAAAAGAGATCAGGGCTAGAGTCTTCTCCAGGGCCAAGTTCCTCTGCTCCTTCCTGAAGGCCAACCCAGCCACAGTCCACCATCCTAAACCAGCTCAGGACAGGAGCCATGGCCAGTGTGGCAAGGACCTAAAAGGGGATACTAGAAGTGAGCCTGGAACTCGGTCCCTGTCTGCTCATTTGCCTGGGACGATTACAGCCAAGGACCCCAGAGAGGAGCCCTCTTACAGACCTTGAGGAAAGATCCTTCTTCATTCAATGTTATTTTTTTCTTTTTGGGGGATTGGGGACATCCCTACCTGGATACTTTTACATTAGTAATAACCTTGGTTGTTCGGTATACCTAAGAAAAGGAGGGACCTCTCTTTGTGCATAAGATTGAATCATTTCTTACTCCTGCTGGCTTTATCCACCACTCCCTACTCCATTTATACCCATGAGCTATGGAAAACTGCCTGGTAGATTTACAGTTTTATCTACATAGCCTCATAAACTAATAAAGACTAAATCCTTTACTTTCCCTTTTTCTTAAAATGGGCTTGCCTTACAGTAAAACTAGAAGTGGGAAGGAGTTGAAAATTAACTTTAAAATATTTGGCTGAAAAAAAAAACCTGATTAATCCCCTTAAATGGGGAAATACACAATATACAAATATTCTTATTTAATTTGAACATTTCATTGGTATATACCAAGTGATTGTTTATACCAACCACTCATGTCTATGAAAGTGAGGGTTGACAATGCTATCTGACTTGTGTAATTGTGAAAAAGAGGCCTCAAAACAATGTTCTGGTGAATTTTACTATAAAATAGCACTAATTTCTAGAAACTCATCCCTAGTTGTAATAGTCCCAAAATTCACTAACTTCTAGACCCCATATATAGCAAAATCTTGCTTATGTAGTATTTGAAAATTCATCAGCTAATACTTTCCAATCTTCATCAGCAAGGCTATAGCTTGTTTCTCATTATCTTTCATTTCACTTATAACAGGGTGGGACAAAGAAATGAAATATATGTTGATTTAAGAGATACAATGATCATTTTTCATCATGTACATGAAACATTGAAAAAAAGATTAAAGTGACTCAGATCATAGTAAGTTAAAAATAATTTTATTGTTTAGAGTATTTTGTTACATTCTAATTTTGAAAATTGGTAATTCATGTATGACATTTGGGATGAGGCTACCTTTAATGAACTGTAATGTTTGATTAAATTTACAGTTGTTTAAAACCTTTATAAGGTCATGGACACCCCTTTGATAATCTGATGAAATCCGTGTTTATGCCATTTCTTCTGAAGAAAAAATTGTACAGACAATGATGAACATTCTGACTAACATTTTATGGAGGTCAAGACAACATTAAAATGCCCATAGAAGAACACAAATAAAAACACTGCACTCCCCACCTATGCCAGGAAAACAAGTTTCCAGTATCTCCCTTCAGTCCTCCATATTTCCTTCAAGATACATGTCAATAGTTAAATATGATTCTGTAAATGAAAGATTTATATCTGATTTATTTTTTAAATTATTTTGAAATAATTGTAGAATTATAAAATTTTCAAAAAATAGTACAGAGAGATCCCCCCATGCATACTTCACCCAGCTTTCCCTAATGTTAATACCTTATGTAAGCATAGTGCAATTATCAAAACCAGTAAATTAATATTGATACAACCCTATTAACTAATCTAGACCTAATTCAAATTTTGCCAATCGTCCCATTATTGTAACACACTTTAAACTATCAATCCATTATTACTTGTAAATCTTAGCTGTTGTACATAGTTTCACTATTTCCCTCCATTTCTTTAAAAACACCTAACTGTAAACAACTTCAGTGTTTAACCACAAAGTGATAGTCAAATAAATTGCAGTATGCTTCCATTTTGACGTTTATACAATTATGTTTTTAAAGACTTCTTATGACATGGATAAATACTTAAAAATAAAACTTTAAGATAGCAGTACACAAAACTATATATATATAATGATCTCAATTTTGTGGAAAAAAAATACACACATGGGGAAAGGCTAGAAAGAAATACACTAACGTTTTGACAGTATTTATCTGTGGATAGTGAGATTTCATGTAATTTTTACTTTCTAGTGTTTTTTTTCTGTCTTCTAAATATTTTTCTAAAAAGCACATTTTGACTTTAGAATCTGAAAAAATTATATTAAGAAAAACAGATGTAGGGACGATATTAGTAATGCCCTGATGGTATTAAAAAAGCAAAACCCAAGCCTACTGCTGTCGAGTCAGACTTGTGGCAACCCTATAGGACAGAGTAGAACTGCCCCATAGGGTTTCCAAGGAGCAGCTGGTGGATTCGAACTGCCAACCTTTTGGTTAGCAGCTGAGCTCTTAAACACTGTGCCACCAGGGCTCCCCTGGTGGTATTAAGTAATTATCGTTACTTTTGTTAGTTGTGATAATGGCATTTTAGTTCTATAGGAGAAATGTTTTGATTTTTTTGGAGATGCATGCTGAAGTATTTAGGGGTGATGTCTCCTGAGATCTATAATTTCCTTTGAATTGGTTGATAAAAATATATTTATATGGAGAGAGAGAGAGAGCGTGCACAAGTGCGCACGCTAGTGCAAAGGGAAGGGAGCAAAACAAATAAACACTCCTCTCCTTCAATAAAAAGGCTCATCTAGAGAAGTGGATCAAAGTTATTTATCAATTCTGTCAGTAAAGTAAAAACCTTATAATCATGTTGCCTTTTGTTGCTATGTATGTAGAATTACGGGCAAAACAAAAACTTACCCATTGTCTGAATTGTTTTGTATCTGTAGTCAAATTCATCTTGTAAGTCTTCTAAGTATTTGGTGTCTTGTTCTGTCATCTTTTTATAAAAGAAAACATAGTCTGGTGTTACAAGTAGGCAAGTCAATGAAACAGCATCGTATTTCAAAATTCACTGTCTGATGCACCCAGTCTCCACTAGCATCCAAAGATTTACTATAGTGAACCTGTGTTTCTGAAGAGCTAATTCCTGTGAAAGTTAAATAATGCTAGAAGAACCAGATTGAGTTTGCTCTTCCAACTGTTTTTCTCTTCCTGTCTGTTTGAAAATATTTCAGAATCTTACCTTTCATTACTCAATTAGTTCCAAATGATGCTACTAATATACTCTTTACCTGAGAATATACTTTTCCATCTTAAAACTCTCCAGTAGTTACATATATGTTTGTATTAATGTACTATCACTTTTCAGCTAATGTCTCCATTCTAATTTGTTGAGGTTTATGACAATTCTATTTAGGTATTTTTTCCTCTCTATTTCTTAGAAGAAAAAAACTATGCTTCCTCTGTGTGTTCTGTCTGTGTCTTTGAGATTTGTACCTTACTATTTAAAAAGAGCCCTGGTGGTGCAGCTTGCCTGCTAACCAAAAGGTTGGCAGTTCAAACCCACCAGCCGCTCTGTCGTATAGGGTCAGTGAGTTGGAATCAAGTTTTTATTCTCTAAACTTAGTAATGTTTTCCTGCTCAGACATAACAGGTACAGTAAAACCTTCGAAAGCCAGAACCTGTGTAAGGTGGAAAACTGTCAGAGAAGGGAAACTATTTTCCACTAAAACAAGTGATAGAAAAGTGGTAAGGCTGAACCTTGTCAAAGGTGGAAAACTTCTGGGACCTGGAAAAACAAGGATGTACCATTGAGTTCTAGCTGTCACAGGTTTCACTGTATAAGGATCAAGATTTGCATTAAAGCCTTTTTACATATTATCTCGTTTAATCCTCATGACAACCCTGTGGAGTTGGTTCTCCTCTCCTTTACAGATGAAGAAGTACAGACTTAGAGATGTAAAGTAAATGAATATAATTATTCTTTTCTTACCAGTCCAAGGTCACATGGCTTCTCAGTGATGGAGTTTGGTGTGGAACTTTGGCAGACTGATAGTGACCCTTTAACCAGTTAGACCATTGCTTCCTAGATTTCAAACTGCTTCTCTTTCTTCTTAGAAAACCGAACTTTTATTGCCTACTTATTCCTAAGAAATCTCCTCTAAGGAAACATACACCTTCCCCTAGTACTTCTCCACAGATTCCAAATTTCAGTCTGCTAAATTATTAGTTAGGAAAAGTATCAAATTCTGAGTCAGTAGTAAGTACTCAAGCTAAAATTCAAACCCAGGCTAGTCTGGCTTGTTTTTCACTACACCATAATACCATTTGTAGTATTTCCCTTAAATGTTAAGTTTATGAAGAGCAAACACCTGTGGAAAGCTATGGGCTCCTAAAAGGCAGGGAACCTACCTGCATAATAAAATATAATATTTAAAAAAACATAAAGCAGAAATATATAGGAGTTTTATCTTTTGATCTCAAAATTAAAAGCTAAAAGATGGTGATATCTGCAGAATCTTCTAATGAAAAGCGTAATATTAAAACAATGCCATAACTCTGAAAAACCAATGGTACAATAAGTAATTAAAAGGCTTTCAGATTGTATCAGTAATTGCAAAGTGCAAAAACACCCAGCAATAACCTTCGAGAGCTCTCTTAATGTTCTGAGAATGTGTACAAAAGTGCCACATTTCAAAACATTCCACAAAATAACAGACGTTATGATGTAAGGGGGAAGTTTATTGATAAGTAAGCACTGTTTTGCAATATAAGGTTAGGGGAAACCCTGGTGGCATAGTAGTTAAGAGCTATGACTGCTAAGGTTGGCAGTTCGAATCCACCAGGCGCTCCTTGGAAACGCTATGGGGCAGTTCTACCCTGTCCTATAGGGTCGCTGTGAGTCGGAATCCACTCGACAGCAATGGGTTTGTTTTTTTTTAAATCAGGTTAAGAATCAGAGATCAGGTACACGTGATTCGTTGGCTCCCAAGAGGAAGGACGTGAGTACAGGAAGTGGGACAGGGCAGAGGAAGGAGCTAAGCAAGGACATGATCTCAGCTGGGGTCTAGCTTCAGTCTCATCTCACAAGGAGCTCTAGGGCATGACCTGCACCACAGTTAACCTCACCTTGAGGCAAGGGATCTGGCCTTTTGTAACTCCATGTAACCCCTAGAGGCAATTCTCTGGAGAAGCTGTTACAAAGCAGCTGATGGACGGGTGCAGACGCTTGACAAAAGTGATCTGGTTAGGCTCCAAAAGGTGGGCTTCTGCTACACCGCACTTCTCAGAAATTAAAAAGGAATTTGTGCTGGATGCAAAACCTATCTGTGTACTTGATTAATAAGCTTAAGTGTTCTCTCTAAAATAAAGGAATCATCTCCTGACTTTGACACACTTGTAGAGTCAATAGCACTCGGTTTTAACCTTATACTGTAATATGCGAAGACATTTTGTCCTAGGTCGTTCTGAGCGCCTACCTAATTCTTTCTAGCAACAGTATAAGCAGAGACTTTTGCATGCATGTTTTACTTGTTGTGGAGGATCACTAAATCAGAAGTCTGAAAATAAATGCTCAGAAATATTATCATTTGAAACTTCTGCCTACGTGTCACACAGTATATGGGGCAGTTTACCATTAAATATCTACAGTTTATTTAGTTTTATATAATTATTATTTTTATAAAGGACACGAATGCTATGTAAGTTTTGGAAAGTAAAATTAGCATTTTATTTTATATATAAAATGGAGGAAATGTAGTTTCATTTAAGAAATCTCTAGATTAATAAAATTGATAAACCTCCAGCCAGACTGATCAGGAAAAAGTAAGAGAAAACACAAATTACCAATACTGAATGTGACAGGTGGCATCACTATAGATTCTATAGATACTAAAATAATAATAAAGGAATATTTGAACAACTTTATACCAGTAAAAAAAAACAACTTAGATAAAATGGATACATTTCTTGAAAAATAAAAATTACCAAAATTCTTTCAAGACAAGATAGATAACCTGAATAGCCCTATATCAAAGAAATGGAAATTGTAGTTAAAAACCTTCCCACAAAGAAGTCTTCTCTAATATCAGCATATTGTGTGAGAGACATTTATCCTATCAACAAATTGTCCTGTGATTTCTGTATACACTAACATTGGGCACATTAGAGAAAGGTGCGCCGGTAGTTGTATGAGGACGATAGCTAGCCTTTCCAGGTATCTGTAAGACCACTCACCTGAACACTGTTTTTAATGGCAGCCACTTTGTGCTCCACATTCCTCTGTCTTTCTGAAACCGAAGAACTTTGTAAGGATTTCTCCAGGGGTCCCTGGGAAGAGAATGTCTTGAAATTTCATTGGTGTTGATAAAACAAGTTTATAATGAATGTAGTATATAAGAATTACTTTTATTAAAGAAAATGTAGGATATATTAGCCTGACTAAACAGAAAAGCTAACCAGTTTTTCCAAGCACCATTCTATTGTTTTTTTTACTGTTGTAAAAATATGGGTAACACGACATTTGCCAATTCAGCATTTCTCACTTGTACAATTCAGTGAAACCGATTACATCAATCATGTTGTGCAACCATTACCAACATTCATTGCCATATTTTCCATCCTTATAAACAGAAACTCAATGCTAGCTAAACAAAGATTCCCCTTGCCTCCCACCCTGGTAACCACTGTTAAATATTGATCTCTATACATTTCCAAGCACCATTTCTTGAAAGCTCTGATAATCTGACCTTGAGTGGTCATTAGAAATTAAGTCACATAGATATCTAGAGATGAGAGTTACAGATGTAAGCAATCCCTTCACTTTATAGTTGCAGGGTGGAGAGTGTTGGTTATAAAGTTTGATGACTAAACTCCGCGGCAAATCAGCGGTGGAAACTCAAGTGGAACTCTTGTCCTTGGTTCCTGATCAAGTGTTCTTTCAACTACGCCCTATTCTTCAGTTTGGTAAAGTCTTATAAAATTTCCCAAGACTACATTTTCTCGCTCTCTTTCATTTGAACCTCCATTATTTGTCTACCTATTTGAAATTTTAAAACCTTAAAATTTAAATATATCTTTTGAGGTAGTATGTGGTACTGGCAGATTATTTTCATTGTGACTTTCATGGGCATCTACTCAAATAAACGAGTGTTTCGATTTGACTGATAGCTGACATTTGATGGGAACAACATACACACACACACACAGAGGCATGCGCACACATGCGTGCACCCACACACATAAACATTAAAATGACTAGAGAGGGGGCACAAAACAGGGTAGCTGAGAAAGGCATCATCTCAATTTTAACCCCAAAAGCACTGAATCAAGCTATATTTGCTTTAGAAACTTACTATACTTCCGATTTTAAATTAAAAAAAAAGATACCATCTCTCTTCTTCCTCTAAAAAGCAAGAAAAGTAAATTGTTAAAACTTTACACTCCTCTAAAAACAACCATAACCTGACAGTAACGAAATCTGAGAATGTTTAATAGTTAAAAAATATGCTTGGATCTTCAAAAAGAAATACAGCGATAGGATTTACTAAATTATGGAAGGTGCAATTTAGAAAATCAATTATTTATACACTCTTTCCTTTTACCAAGGATTAACTGAAAAAGTATTCCTTAAGGGCTTTACTGATGCTTCTGATTATTTTTGATGGGGGCTCTGAATTTATTCAGGATGGTGGGATAAAATATAATCCAAGTACACTCAAGCAGTCTACAAGCAAGTTTTATGGAGTTTCTGTAAAACAAAATTCTTTCTTGTGGATTACAGTAGTTTAGACTTGTGGGGCGGGAACTAGGAGGCTACTGAAGGGTTTTGAGCAAGATTGATCTATGAGGATAAACATGGTGAAGGTACTTAGGAAACTCACCAGGAGGTGGCTACTATATTCCTAGACTGATATTTTAAGACCCTGGACAAGAGTGAGGTAAGTGAAAACAGAAAAGGTGGTGTAGATAAGAAAGACTTTTAGAGATAAATACAGGGAAGGCTTGGTTATTATCTCAACATGGAGATGGAGACAAGGAAGTAGCCAAAGACAATTCTAAAACCTTGATTCCAAGTGACTGAAAGGACAGTGGTGCCACTAAAATGGTAGAAACTGGTTTAGAAGAAGGTAAAAAGTTCTGTTCCAGAAAAATTAACTTTAAGGTGGAAACAAGATCACAGAGTTCAGATGCTATTACCTGGACAGGCATGTTAGCTGCAGCCAATATTCTCCTCTCTTCCCTTAAACAATTTGAAATAACCACAGCTACGTGCATTGGATTCCCATGAAATTTTCCCTGAAAAAAGTAAACAAAAACAATTAAAAATTTAAATATACGCATCATCATAAAATGTCAGTGCTTGCATATCACTATCTACTCCCAATAAATATATGAAACTATTTGGGATTTGTTCCAGTAATCTATTCCGTTATAAAGCAACAGAAACATCTTTTGTGAAATATTTCTCTTTGTCTTCAAAAATCATTTTTAATAATAAAAAATCGTTCTTGAGTGCCTTTGTAAGAAAGGTCCTGAATACACATGCAGGAGCATTAGGTAGCGCAGATGATTAAGGGCTGCACTGCTAACCGAACGACTGGCGGTTCGAACCCCCTCAGTGGCTCTCTTGGAGAAAGACCGGGTGCTCTGCTCCCCTGAAAGATTACAGCCAAGAAAATCCTATGAGGGCAGTTCTACTCTGTCCTATGTGGTTTCTATGTGTCAAAAACGACTTGATGGCACCTAAAAACAACAGTTTGCTTCAGGTTTAGGACAGGATTTAGGTTAAAGGAGTTATCGTGAACCAGGGTGGTTCCCGGCTGTTCGCTCACGACTTCTGTGCTTCATGGTGTGGTTAAAGCATTTCTTTGGGTTTTTGTTTGTTAGTATTCATGTCTAGCTCATAGCTGTATTAATATACTAGAATGAAAAAATATCATGCATTTCAACAACAATGTTTTTATGACATCTAAGTATATGTATTTTTGATTATCAAGGCTAATGATGCAGATATTGTAAACTGGAAGCCTGTGGGCCTAATTCGGCCATCATGTAAGTGGTGTAAATTAAAATATTGAAATCCCTTCAGGGGACCATGGTTTAGAGGACTAATTCAAATGTGTTGAACTTCTTTGTCACTAATTTTTTCCAAGTCAAGATTAACAGGAAGTACAACAAACAAATGCATTTATTTAGTTTCCTTCTCTGCCCTTCTCTGTGAAGGAGGTGCCAGTTGTGCATGAAATTGCCAAATGGTCACTAGCAGAGAAAATAATAATCCACATAGTGGAAAACTGACAATCAAAAGTAAATTATATGGACTGGTGAACCAAAAGATCTCTCTAGGAAAAAAATGAAGTTGTTGGATGGAAACATCTTTATGGCCTTGACTGCTGCTGCAATTTTATTAGATGATGCACTATAATTAACTTTTATCTGTAAAAGTAGGTAAATGCCAAGCATCTAGATTCTTGCTTCTCTGTATTCTATAGCTTCGAAACTTTTTTTCCTTTAAATCAGAGAGTTCTAAAAGGGGAAGAATAAAATAAATGTGACCGAAACTCAGAATGTAATTAAATTAAAATAATCCTGTTAAGCAAGGATACCAAATTTCTGATGGTTGACATCTTGACAATTTCTGCATGTTGACAATTTCAAACTCTCTCTAATTAGAATTTGTTCCAGCTGCTAATTTCCTCCTCTACTAATATATATATATATATTTTTATATGTTATATTCAACTGCTCAAAAAAAGCTGTTTTCTCATTTTGCCTTTAATTTATTTGAAAAATATTCCATTGTTAAAAACAAAAGGACTTCTTCTAGGGCTAACTTTGGCTGCTCTGTTAATTATGTAAACTTGAACACTCTTCCCATCCAGTATTATGAGTTCCTGTAAGACCCCAAGAATCATCGTTTATCTTTTTCTCACTGTTATATGAGTATTTTGTTGTTTATCATTCAGATACTTTCTTTCAACCTTTTTCAGCTGTTATACACGTTTTCATTCTCTTTTCCTACTTGAACTCCTACCTTCCCGTTCAGATTCACTTTCCCTTCATATCTTGTGAAGTTTACTTACTCGTTTTTTCTCTTTGCTAAGAGTAAGGAACCGCCATTCTTTTCATCCAGGCTATCTTTTCACTTTCCTTTTTCCTTTTTCCTAATTTAGCCACTCACTTAAATTTATAAGACAAAAACAGCCTATGGAAAATGGATCACTATAAATTCAATCCCAAATTAATATTTTTTATTTTCACAAGCATCAAAGCTGTACTCAGGTTCACCTTTAGGTAGTTACCAAATATGTGAACCTTAAAAAACAAAACAAACCCTAAGTGTGTGGTGGTGGGAGGAGGGAAGAAAGAGAAAGCTAGAAAAAGAGAAATGTTATTAACTGCATATACCTTTAGACTTGTATGTATTACTGGTGAGTCAAATCTTTCATTACTGTGAACTGACCTTTATCTCTAGTAATGCTTTCTGCCTTGAAGCAAAAGCATAATTAAACACTGAATAATGCTTTTTATCACTTAGAATTTTTATTTTCTCCTTATTGAAATTCTTTTGATTTATTTCAACATAGATTTTTTAAAAATCATATATCGTTATTGTGAGTATATAAAAGAGAAAATATAAATTGGTTAATATCTTCCTAAAACTTTCCCACATATTTAGAGTTCAACTTCTGTGAATTTTTAAACTTAGAGTCACTGCCAACCATATTTTTCCATAAAATTATGTCCTCTGGGCCATCAAGAATTTTGATAATGCAGCATTTCTTAGAAGTGTGCATGACTATTGTCTCCATTTTGCACATTTTGGTGCTGGTGCTTTCTTCATCTTATCAGAAGTTTTTAATTAGAAGAATTCAGATAAGACCTAGAACTCACTTTCCTTCTGCGAAAGGTCCTTGTCATGGATCGAATTGTGTCCCCCCAAAATGCGTGTCAACTTAGCTAGGTCATGATTCCCAGTATTGTGATTGTCCTGCATTTTGTCATCTGATGTGATTTTCTTATGTATTGTAAATCCTACCTCTGTGATGTTAATGAGGCTGGATTGGAGGCAGTTATGTTAATGAGGCAGGACTCAATCTGTAAAATTAGGTTGTATTTTAGGTCTATCTCCTTTGAGATATAAAAGAGAGAAGCGAGCAGAGACAGGGGGACCTCATACCACAAAGAAAGCAAGGCTGGGAGCAAAGGGTGTCCTTTGGACCCGAAGTTCCTGCGCCGAGAAGCTCCTAGACCAGGGGAAGACTGATGACAAAGACCTTCCCCCAGAGCTGACAGAGAGAAGGCCTTCCCCTGGAAGTCCCCTGAATTTGGACTTCTATCCTCCTAAACTATGAGAGAAGAAATTTCTCTTTGTTATAGCAGCACTAGATAACTAAGATAGTCCTGAAATTGTTTGTTGACTGAAACATTGAGGGATTGTAGTGATCTAGTCATGCCATTAGTATTTACAACCACATCAGTGTACTTTTAGGTGAGATTATTATTTTATTGTTCAGATACATGTCCATAAAATCGAGAACTAGAATACATGGTGGGCTTCCAGATGTCCATTCCAAAAGGCTTCTAGCCAGTTCTCCATCAGTTCAACCATCATCATCTACTGTTTTGGTGCACTCACAGTAACATTTTTGAAAAAGCTTTTAATCTTAGATATTGTTTTAAGTATAAAATTAAATATAGTGGCAACTTCAGCAATTGGCAGCTAGGCAGAACATCACTTTTGATATGCTGCTTTTTGTAACCCAAACTCATAATCTTGATCTCTTTAAGGTTATTTTGCATTGACTGTATAATTTTAAGACATGTCAAAGAAAACCAATTCCCACTCCCAGCTTACTGATTTGATTAAGTATATATTTTCATTTTTCCTCAGTGGCATCATGCTAGAAGTTGAGTGCATTCTGTTCAAAGTCAGCAGGAAGTTTCTGATAAATTGATGTATGTCTTAACCATACTCCTGTGCAGTGTATGATTCTTTTACTCCAACCTTCTATTTTGCTGAGATTTCTTTCATCTATTGTCAGAAACTTGGCAATTTGTCTTGCCACTGTTGCTTTGTGTGGGATAGGAGATTCTTTTTTCATGAATCTCAGTAATACAATATAAGGCAGCTTCATCTACTGGTGGTACTTTCCTTTCTTATGTCCTGTAAAGCACTTGATTGTGCTTTTCAAGAAAATATAGAGTTTATGGTCATTTGTACAGTGACAAATAGTTGTTTAACAAATGATTTGTTTCCATACCATTCTGCATACCTGATAACTGTTTATTTCCATCTTAAATAACGCCATTATATTTTGATGACATTTTAAATAGCAATTAAACTCAACATGTGTTGTACTAACAGTGTACATAATTCAGCTAAAGTGACGACAACAACATGAACAACTATGACCCGGTTTCACATTGTGGTTGGCACATGGCAACAGCAATGAGGAGATCAATTAAGAGGAGTCCCTTCTTGGTGCAAATGGTTAACGCAAATGGTTAATGCCCTCAGTTGCTAACCAAAAGGTTGGAGGCTTGAGTCCACCCAGACACAGCTCAGAAGAAAGGTCTGGTGATCTATATACAAAAAAGTAACCATTGAAAACCTTATGGAGCACAGTCCTACTCTGACACACTAGGGGTGGCCATGAGTTAGAACTGATTTGATGGCAACTGGTAGTGGTGGTGGTGATGGATTATAAGATGCATTTTGATTTCAGAGATGTTAAAATGTGTTGAATCAATGAAACATGTTAGTTTTTCCTTCTTCTTCTTTTTTTTTTTTGCTACTTTAAGCTACATCCCTTGGCTTTCCTTCAAATCCTTCTTCTACTGCTCTTCCACCTAATTTCTAAATTTGCTTTGTCAAAGGAGTGACTAGTTCATCTGCTCTTTTTCTACCAAATTTTCTGGAGTGCCAAAGTCAGGAGTAATGGACATGAGAAAACTTACTTCAGAAGAACCTCCTCCAATCAAGTGGCACAGAACTGGAGATTTCACAAGTAGACATTTACTCCTATGAGTTCTTTCCCCAACAACCCCCTTTAAAAGGCAAACACATTGGGAGAATCAACACCGCATTTACTAATTTCCTCTGTTTTGTGAAGGCTTTATCGGATGATGTTCTCTGACTGCAGTGACCTGACAACTGCAGTCTGAGAGCGATGGATTCCGGGGCAGATGGAGGGAAAAGTGTCAGGAGAGCTCTGAAAGGAGGAGAATAGTGCCCAAAGGAGGTGTGGGCTTCTGAAGAAACATGTAGCCAATAACTGTCTTAGCTTGGGTTC